TCGTCACTAAACCACCAACCACCACCACTGGGCCCCTCGTCACTAAACCAACCACCAACACTGGTCCCCTCGTCACTAAACCAACCACCACCACTGGTCCCCTCGTCACTAAACCACCAACCACCACCACTGGGCCCCTCGTCACTAAACCAACCACCAACACTGGTCCCCTCGTCACTAAACCAACCACCACCACTGGTCCCCTCGTCACTAAACCACCCACCACCACCACTGGGCCCCTCGTCACTAAACCAACCACCACCACTGGTCCCCTCGTCATTAAACCATCCACCACCACTGGTCCCCTCGTCACTAAACCAACTACCACCACTGGTCCCCTCGTCACTAAACCAACCACCACCACTGGTCCCCTCGTCACTAAACCAACCACCACCATTGGTCCCCTCGTCACTAAACCAACCACCACCACTGGTCCCCTCGTCACTAAACCATCCACCACCACTGGTCCCCTCGTCACTAAACCAACCACCACCACTGGTCCCCTCGTCACTAAACCAACCACCACCACTGGTCCCCTCGTCACTAAACCAACCACCACTGGTCCCCTCGTCATTAAACCATCCACCACCACTGGTCCCCTCGTCACTAAACCACCCACCACCACCACTGGGCCCCTCGTCACTAAACCAACCACCACCACTGGTCCCCTCGTCATTAAACCATCCACCACCACTGGTCCCCTCGTCACTAAACCACCCACCACCACCACTGGGCCCCTCGTCACTAAACCAACCACCACCACTGGGCCCCTCGTCACTAAACCAACCACCACCATTGGTCCCCTCGTCATTAAACCAACCACCACCACTGGGCCCCTCGTCACTAAACCAACCACCACCACTGGGCCCATCGTCACTAAACCAACCACCACCACTGGTCCCCTCGTCATTAAACCAACCACCACCACTGGCCCCCTCGTCATTAAACCAACCACCACCACTGGTCCCCTCGTCACTAAACCAACCACCACCACTGGTCCCCTCGTCACTAAACCACCCACCACCACTGGTCCCCTCGTCACTAAACCACCCACCACCACTGGGCCCCTCGTCACTAAACCAACCACCACCACTGGTCCCCTCGTCACTAAACCAACCACCACCACTGGTCCCCTCGTCACTAAACCAACCACCACCACTGGGCCCCTCGTCACTAAACCAACCACCACCACTGGTCCCCTCGTCACTAAACCACCCACCACCACTGGTCCCCTCGTCACGTAAGCTGTAAGGGCTATAAGATGAGATATCGACGCTCCCAGGCCTCAAAATAAGTGATTGGGAGGCCAGGTGAGCTGCTTGATCATGAGGTTATTGGGCCGTTGGGGACACGAGAACATGTTGCCACACTGTGTCACTTATATGCTGTAGAGGCAGGACCAGTGGTCCATCTGGACCCCACCATGATGGCAGGACCAGTGGACCACCTGGACCCCACCATGATGGCAGGACCAGTGGACCACCTGGACCCCACCATGATGGCAGGACCAGTGGTCCATCTGGACCCCACCATGATGGCAGGACAAGTGGACCGCCTGGACCCCACCATGATGGCAGGACCAGTGGACCACCTGGACCCCACCATGATGGCAGGACCAGTGGTCCATCTGGACCCCACCATGATGGCAGGACCAGTGGACCACCTGGACCCCACCATGATGGCAGGACCAGTGGACCACCTGGACCCCACCATGATGGCAGGACCAGTGGACCACCTGGACCCCACCATGATGGCAGGACCAGTGGTCCACCTGGACCCCACCACAGTGCGGACCGGCACCTACACAGGTCTACCAGTCCAGATATAAAGTTTGTGGACAAATCCATTGACTGAAATAATTAAACTTGGTGGAATAGATAAAAAAAAATTAACTTGTAAACTCTACGTTGTTTGCCACCCACGTTTCAGTACCTGAGCTGATACGTGATGGTCAGGCCATACCTCCCTATTACGCCTTGATCTCCAGCATGAAGGTCCTCGCTAGTCTCTTACCAGGCCGCCTGGTGCTGTGGGGAACCCGCAGTCTGACGCCAGTCACAGCCTGGTTGATCAGCTCTCCTTTGAAGAGCTTGAAGAGACTATGTCTAAGAGATCTTGTACAGTGATTGAGCTCACCTTCAATACTGCCAGGTGACTGGTTAAGACTCCTGCTTGACTATAGTAATATGCAAGGTTTCTCAACATAACAAGGTCATTACCGACCACTGGTAGTTCAACTAAATACACCCACACACACACACACACACACACACACACACACACACACCTGGCTATGAATGTGAAGCCTCAACGGAAATTAAATGAACTTAATTCATATATATATATATATATATATATATATATATATATATATATATATATATATATATATATATATATATATATATATATATATATATGTAGGACATGTATTCAAGGTATAAGACAGAGAGGTGTGTGTTGGCAATATGGCGGCCAATATCACGCTGTAAAGCTGCCAACATTCACAGTTGGTGACATAACTTTTGTAAGTTACGGGAAATTTGGGCGAGTGTGAGAGAGAGTTTTAGGGAAGTGGGTTCGTTACCCGGTGTAAACACTTGTTCCAGCGGACCTCTCATGGTTGTTCCAGCCTTACGTCAACCTTGGTTCACGGTTCATACTGTCAAAATATACATTGTATTTTGTCGTGAGTGAATGTTATCTGGTCACATTTGTTTTATATGTTGCGACTGTGTGTGTGTGTACTGTGTTAGCTGAAGGTCTTCACTGTGAAAATATTGACGGTGTACGGTGGGGATGACCCCGCGGCTCTTAACCTCTCGTGCACAAACGCTACCGTTATTGTGTCTTTGTTGTTGACCTTGGCTCAAGGGACGCTTGTGGCTCGTGTGTACTATGGAGCCTACAGGCTCTTCCTACAATGTTTGTACACACTGTAATGTTTTAGCCAAGCCTTAGTTATATGTCTCACAAAGTCTGCCCACTAACTTAACTTTTCTCCCGCCAATATCCTTTCTAGTGTACGGAAATCTCCTTATTTTAAGTTCTTCTCAATGTTGTGTTATATATTGTTCAGTCGTTGTGTTATACACCGTCCAGTCGTTGTGTTATACACCGTCCAGTCGTTGTGTTATACACCGTCCAGTCGTTGTGTTATACACCGTCCAGTCGTTGTGTTATACACTGTCCAGTCGTTGTGTTATACACCGTCCAGTCGTTGTGTTATACACCGTCCAGTCGTTGTGTTATACACCGTCCAGTCGTTGTGTTATACACCGTCCAGTCGTTGTGTTATACACTGTCCAGTCGTTGTGTTATACACCGTCCAGTCGTTGTGTTATACACCGTCCAGTCGTTGTGTTATACACCGTCCAGTCGTTGTGTTATACACCGTCCAGTCGTTGTGTTATACACCGTCCAGTCGTTGTGTTATACACCGTCCAGTCGTTGTGTTATACACCGTCCAGTCGTTGTGTTATACACCGTCCAGTCGTTGTGTTATACACCGTCCAGTCGTTGTGTTATACACCGTCCAGTCGTTGTGTTATACACCGTCCAGTCGTTGTGTTATACACCGTCCAGTCGTTGTGTTATACACCGTCCAGTCGTTGTGTTATACACCGTCCAGTCGTTGTGTTATACACCGTCCAGTCGTTGTGTTATACACCGTCCAGTCGTTGTGTTATACACCGTCCAGTCGTTGTGTTATACACCGTCCAGTCGTTGTGTTATACACTGTCCAGTCGTTGTGTTATACACCGTCCAGTCGTTGTGTTATACACCGTCCAGTCGTTGTGTTATACACCGTCCAGTCGTTGTGTTATACACCGTCCAGTCGTTGTGTTATACACCGTCCAGTCGTTGTGTTATACACCGTCCAGTCGTTGTGTTATACACTGTCCAGTCGTTGTGTTATACACCGTACAGTCGTTGTGTTATACACCGTCCAGTCGTTGTGTTATACACCGTCCAGTCGTTGTGTTATACACCGTCCAGTCGTTGTGTTATACACCGTCCAGTCGTTGTGTTATACACCAAAATTAACTTCCAGACACAATTAATCTTGTACAAAACACCATAATAATAATAATAATACGCCCTCAGATAACTTGAAGTGAACCAAAGAACATACTAGAGTAATTTGTCGTAGATATTTCCATACAAACTATATAAATAGCTGAATTGGCTTTGGCTAGTTGTTGTTGTTGTTTAAGATTCGCTACTTGGAACAATTAGTTCCAAGTAGCACGGGCTATGGTGAGCCCGAATGCACGTAGAAGAAGGTAATTTGCTAAAAAGTTTCAATACAATAGAAATGCATTAAATTGAATGAGCTTAGAATGCCTGGTTCAACTGTGAAAGACTGGTCAGTGTTGGGAGTTGTGGCACAACCTGAGTCAGGTTACAGTGTCACAGTCAACTCAGTCATCGTCTGATCAGTAACATAAATTATACGCATATTTAAATCCCAGACAAGATATCAAATATTAATATGGAAGCCCTTACTCAAGCGTCCTCAAACTGAGATACATAATTTATCATTTCCAGCGTTCGACTTGCTATTATTTTCACCAACCTTGAAAGCCATCAATTACCCACTGTTGGTAAGTGGCTGGATGTCTCTCAGTCTGATAAATATGTTGTTGCTTTACAGTCACCTTCTCGGAACAAAACGTTGCGAGTAGCACGGGCTATGGTGAGCCCGTAGTGGACTTACCTGGCACAGGAGCGGGGCCAGTAGCACGGGCTATGGTGAGCCCGTAGTGGACTTACCTGGCACAGGAGCGGGGCCAGTAGCACGGGCTATGGTGAGCCCGTAGTGGACTTGCCTGGCACAGGAGCGGGGCAAGTAGCACGGGCTATGGTGAGCCCGTAGTGGACTTACCTGGCACAGGAGCGGGGCCAGTAGCACGGGCTATGGTGAGCCCGTATTGGACTTACCGAAAAGACAAAATATTATAAAGTTACCAATAAAGGGAATGAGAAAAGCAGCTGACCTGTAAGTGAGGTGAGCGGTGAACCACATGGAGCCCTCCACGTCGGCCTGGTCGTACGACTGATTATAGAGCATGGCCAGGTTTGTCGTCCCTATCTCTCCGTCCCTTCTGTAGGCGTATGCTCCGAACATCTGCCTGTGGTCCGTCGTGTCCTCTTGAGAGCCTCTCAGTATTCCTTCATCATTTGAAACATTTACATCGTGTAGAGTCTTGTGTTCCACTGGAGAGCGGAACTCTCCCCTCTGGAAAGCGACCGCCGAAGACATGATGGAAGGTTCGTTGTCCATCATGGCTCTGACGAGTGCGTAAAACACGTATGGAGGGTAAGATGGGTCCAGGCCTTCAGGAACCGCTACGAACAGATTATTCAATAAGTTAGCAATGTGCAGGGCGGCTCTTGTGCCGTCCTGAAACTTGGTAAACTGGTCAGGAGGGACGGCGATGTCCAGGGTCTTGTGTGTACACGCCTCTCCCGGGGCCCCGGCTGCTCCTTCGTCATCCTTGCCGCCGCTATCCGGGTTATCTTCAGAAGCTGACTTCTCGACACCAAGTGTATGTAGCACCCGTGTGAGCTGGCGGTCACGGGCAGCGACCTGGGCCTTGTGCTGCAGCGGGTCCTCCTCGTCCCCCATGGCCGCCCACGCCAGCCACATGCACGCCCACGCCCACGCCTGCACACGTCTGCCCAACATTATCCACACTAGACACTAGGCAGCATGGTCAGCCTCTATGTACAGACGGGCTTGGACAACACCGAACTCGTCACACTACACACACACAGGGCAGTACGGAGGACACGTGTGGCCGCGCTCCTCGATAACGTATTCATAACTCGTGACATCTGAGTGTTACACAATTGTTGCGTAGTGATATTACGAAGTGTAACACGTCGGTTAGATAATAACAGTTATTTTGACCACCACAGTCACGACTGTCGCCACGGTTACCATCTCATGCTTAAATAGTGTGTACATAACTATAGTGATAATGAAGATAACAGCAAGCTGCCAAAACGTGTAGCTTTAGCACTATATCAGTGCCAAGGGAGAGAAGAAATATTGGACATGTGGTGAGATATATAGTGGGAAGTGGGTGACCCAGTCGCCTGGCAGCGGAGTGAAGAACTAGAGGCGTACACAGGCCTCCACAACACTTCTCACCACTATACTGAGTCACCTAGTTGTGCTCATGGCTGGCCTGGTGAGTGCCTCTTGAGTCACTCACACGCTGCACAGTGCTTCCTTTTATATCATAATTAGTCTTGGATATAAGAGACGGAAACGAATCTCACGAGACAATATGCTGCTCATCTCCATACAGCAGTTGTTCACACCTGTGTGTGAACAGTTAACCCCCCGCCACTAGTCCCAGTTCCCCCCCTCCCCCCCTCTTTTCCCACCACTTCTCACCCAAAACGCACCATCTCACATCCAAACACACACACACACACACACACACAGGGTTAGGGGCCTGGTAGCCTGGTGGATAGCGCGCAGCACTCGTAATTCTGTGGCGCGGGTTCGATTCCTGCACCAGGCAGAAACAAATAGGCAAAGTTTCTTTCACCCTGAAAGCCCCTGTTACCTTGCAGTAAATAGGTACTTTGGAGTTAGTCAGCTGTCACGGGCTGCTTCCTGGGGGGTGTGTGTGGTGTGAAAAAAAGTAGTTACTAAACAGTTGATTGACCGTTGAGAGGCAGGCCGAAAGAGCAAAGCTCAACCCCCTCAAACACAACTAGGTGAATACAGGTAGACAAGGATAAAGTATTCAACACTGGTGGGACGCGAACAAGGGGGCACAGGTGGAAACTGAGTACCCACATGAGCCACAGGGACGTTAGAAAGAACGTTTTTAGTGCCAGAGTAGTTAACAGATGGAATGCATTAGGCAGTGATGTGGTGGAGGCTGACTCCATACACAGTTTCAAATGTAGATATGATAGAGCCCAATAGGCTCAGGAATCTGTACACCAGTTGATTGACAGTTGAGAGGCGGGACCAAAGAGTCAAAGCTCAACCCCCGCAATCACAAATAGGTGAGTGCAAATAGGTGAGTACAGTTGGGTCATCAGTTCCCCACCTAGGTGCCCCCCCCCCCTTTAACATCTTCCCACACCTCCCTTCCCCTGTCCATCCCCTCCCCCTCTCTCTCTCCCTATACCCCTGCACCCCTTCCTCCTCTCTAGTCCCCTCTCTCATATTCCTGCATTTCTTCCCCTTCTTCTCTATTATATCCGCCGCCCCCCGCTCTCTCTCCCCCTCGATAGCTCTTTTGTATCTGTCCCTAACTTCCCCTCTCCTTCCCTCTCCCTCTCATCTCATCTCTCCCTCTGTCTCCCCCCCCCCTCAACATCTCCCTCTCTCTTTCTCTTTACTTTCCCTCCAGCTCTTCTCTAGCTGTCCCTCCCTAGCTTCCCGCTCTTCTTCTCCTCTATCACCCTTTACCCCTCTTCACCCCCCTGCCCTCCCCCTTGCATCTACCAATCTTCCATCCCCCTTTCTCCTCCCATTTCTTATGTCCCTCCATCTCTTTCCTATATCCTCCTCTCCCTCTCGTTCTCTCCCTCTCTCCCTCCTCTCTCTCTCTCTCTGCATGTCTCTGACTCTAGTAGTCTAACACTAACCCTACATACCATAAAGTAATGAAGCATGATGGTAGAACACCTGAACACAGGTGGATGAGAGGGTCAGGGTGAGTTATGCATGGGGATGACTGCTCGTGCATGGGGATGACTGCTCGTGCATGGGGATGACTGCTCGTGCATGGGGATGACTGCTCGTGCATGGGGATGACTGCTCGTGCATGGGGATGACTGCTCGTGCATGGGGATGACTGCTCGTGCATGGGGATGACTGCTCGTGCATGGTGATGACTGCTCGTGCATGGGGATGACTGCTCGTGCATGGTGATGACTGCTCGTGCATGGGGATGACTGCTCGTGCATGGTGATGACTGCTCGTGCATGGGGATGACTGCTCGTGCATGGGGATGACTGCTCGTGCATGGGGATGACTGCTCGTGCATGGGGATGACTGCTCGTGCATGGTGATGACTGCTCGTGCATGGGGATGACTGCTCGTGCATGGGGATGACTGCTCGTGCATGGTGATGACTGCTCGTGCATGGGGATGACTGCTCGTGCATGGTGATGACTGCTCGTGCATGGGGATGACTGCTCGTGCATGGGGATGACTGCTCGTGCATGGGGATGACTGCTCGTGCATGGGGATGACTGCTCGTGCATGGGGATGACTGCTCGTGCATGGGGATGACTGCTCGTGCATGGGGATGACTGCTCGTGCATGGGGATGACTGCTCGTGCATGGGGATGACTGCTCGTGCATGGGGATGACTGCTCGTGCATGGGGATGACTGCTCGTGCATGGGGATGACTGCTCGTGCATGGGGATGACTGCTCGTGCATGGTGATGACTGCTCGTGCATGGGGATGACTGCTCGTGCATGGGGATGACTGCTCGTGCATGGGGATGACTGCTCGTGCATGGGGTGGAATAAGTGGGGCACTGAAAGACATGAAGGAAACCACAATGAAACTATAGTTAGAGCTGAGAGCATCGCAGGAGGAAACAAAGACCCTCAGCAATAACCTTGCTGAGGCTCTGACGCAGGTAATCAACCAGCAGGTAGCAGGGTGAGTAGCTATAGCAGGGACCTCTACCATGTGTGACACCTTTACTGAAATGCTGAGGACGAGCCCAGAAGCCATGTCCACAGTCAAGGAAGTAGCAATAAAAGCAGCAACTTCCCCGGAGGCAGCAAGGTGCTCGAGTCAGCTACTGGAAAGGAAGCGAGCTGTAGCCATGGTAGGCATTAAAGAACAAGAAGGTTTCAGTCAGGAAGAATGGAGAGTTAAGGACATGGCTGCAGTGTCAGGTATCCTGAGCACTGAAGAGACAAGGTTTACCGACTTGGCCGGTATAACAAAGACAAACAGCGATTGATAAAGGTAGTATTCCTCATCCTAACCTTTGCACAGAAGCCCTCCAGAATTTTTTTATTGAATGTCAACATTATTCAAAATGGATAACTAAAACTGGAACTGTGCTCAGAATGTATCAGAGTTATAATGTGTACCAAGTGAGACAACAACGGCACTTTCCTGCACCGTGGGAGGTTACACCCTCTCCAATTTTAATCCCTCCCTTCCCACCCAAAAAGCAAATTAGAGATCAGTCCAAGCTTCGTCTTGAGGCAAAGCTCAACGCCTTAAGCCATATTAATGCTCTGTCCACAGAGCATTCTCTCTCTCAAATCATATACACTGATGGTTCCCTACACCGCACCACGGGTGCAGCTGGAAGTGCAGCTGAAGTCTTGTCCATGGGTGATGGCTTGCACTTTGAGTGGGGAGTCCGTATAAACAACTGGGCCTCTACCCTTCACACCCAACTATTTGCCTTGCTTATTGCACCGAAATATGTACTAGTCTCCAAACATTATATATTAATTGTAAGTGACTGTTTACAATCCTTAATTGCACTCCACTCATTAAGATATATCGGTAACAAGCTCGTGTCTGAAACTACAATGTAACAGAATCCATTTCATGTGAATTCCATCTCATGTTAGCCACCAAATGCATAATGGAGCTGATGAGTTAGCCAAAGAATCTGCCTTTAAAGAAGAAATTGAGTATATCCTTGGATTGTCAATGAGCAATCTGAGAGCAGCAGTACACCGAGAACTTCAACAAAATCTTGAAGCTCTGAGGCAAAGTGAAATTGACACCAGTAATTCCATCTATCATCATACTATCATGCAAGAGGAGCCACACATCTATGGATCATCCAATAAAATCAGCAGACTTCTAGATGTTACTACTGCTCGGCTTAGACTCGGTTACAAGTATCTCTGGGAATTCTCATTATCTGCTGATGTAGACCTGACCAAATGTAAACTGTGTCAACAAAATTATTCGCACACCCTCCGTCACTATGTGATGGAGTGCGAAAAGATACGTGAATTTAGAGACAATTCTATAACCAATGTACCAACGATGTGTCAGTATTTCATTCAAAATGATCTGCTACCAGAAATTTTAGCCAAATATCCCCAGTTTGCTAACTGTAGGTAGTAACTGAGTGATTGTAACCTATCCACCGCTGCCCACTGGATGGGGGGCGGTGTGCAGGACAAACATATCAATTGTGACACTAACTCTCCACATATGTCAGTTGCTTAATTTAGAACCTGTACTTGAGGTCGATCTCGAACCCATTGTTAATGTGACGACTTATATTAAAGTTTGTAACTAGCTCATCAAGATTGTAACTTGCTTAGCTAAATGAATTGTGGGGTTCAGTCCCTGAGCCCATTATGTGCCTCTGTAACCCTTTCCACTACCCCCCACAAGATGGGTATGGGGTGCATAATAAATGAACTAAACTAAATATGAACGAGGCCGCCAAAGAGAACATTTTAGAAAAGAAGAGCAAACTACAAAATGTAAGGCAATACAGAAAAGTATTCCTCCAGAGGGACATGACCAGGGACGAGATAATTCACATAACAGATGCAAGGAAAAGGTGCAGGGAGAGGGAAGGAAACCAGGGAAGGGAACAACAATCCCAGATGGGAGTGGGGAAACCCCAACCAACAATTCAGGAACCCCAGAGAGAACTGCAACACCCCACCTGCCACCCCATACGAGCAGCCCCCCAACCCCAAGTTCAAACCCTCCCATCCTCTACACAATGCTTACCATGCCACCCAAATCTTCCCTCCCCCTCACCCAGAGCACCCCCTGTCTCCCCATCCCTTGGCCTTCCTCCTGCCCCAAGCAGGCCCAAGCAAGATTTAAGCCCTCCATCCCCCACCCCACCTCCCCCAAAACCCCTGATAACTACCTCACAGGAGAATGAGCCTCCCCAAACAATCCTGTCCATGGAACAGCTTCCTACACCAGTGGGAAGTGCATGTGATAATGGATATAGGAAAGTGAGCATCGAGGTAATGTACTCAAACATCGATGGGATTACAAATAAAGCAAGTGAACTGCCCGAAGGGGCACAGGAAGAAACCCGATGCAATAGCACTCACAGAAATGAAATTGTCAGGCATCATAGCGAATGCAGGACTACTATATAGTAAGGAAAGAGGGAAGGAAGAGGAGGAGTAGCCCTGCTGATAAGGAAGGACTGCAGTTTCGAATAGATGGATATCCCAGGCTGTAAAGGGTTCAGAGACTACATAACAGGAACTATGACAATGGGTGGACCTAAGATAATAGTGGCAGTCATTTACAACCCTCCATTAAATGGCAGAAGACCCAGACAGGAGTTTGACTGAAATTAATAGAGAGCAGCTTCAGTTGCCAGCAGGAATGGATCCAGACTCTTACTCATGGGGCGACTTCAACCACGAAAAGATAGACTGGGAGAATGGAGAACCACATGGAGGTGCAGATATACAGATTTAAACTACCGGACATGGCAGTAAAAACTTTCTGAGCCAACATGTCAAGGGACCCACAAGAATGAGAGACAACAATGAACCAGCTAGACTACTTGATATTCACCTTGAATGAGTCAACCATAAGAGAAGTCAAATTTGAAGCACCCATCGGGATGAGTGACCACAGCATTCTGACATTTGAGATCTGGTAATAGGGATAGGGATAACCTATCCAAGGAAATGATCGGAAAGAAAAAGGCTGGCTTACCGAAGCTGAAAATATGACGAGATGAGGAACTTCCTAATGGGAATACCATGGGAAACAGAACTCAGGAAAAAGACTGTACAAGAAAGTTCCAGGAAGCTGCAGACAGGTTTATCCCTGCCCAAAGGGACAAAAATGTAAAACAACAGAAGAATCCATGATTCATTCAGGAATGTAAGGTAGCTAAGCAATTAAGTACAAGAATATGGAGAAACTACAGAAATAACAGAACACCAGAGAGCAGGGAGAGATACCAGAGAGCCAGGAACGAGTACCTCAGAGAGAAGAGAGAAGCGGCGAGACATTATGAAAATGGCATCGCAAGTAAAGCCAAGACCCAACCAAAACTGCTCACAGCCAAGTCAAGAGAAAAACAGCAGTGAAGGAACACGTGATGAAACTAAGAAAAAGGATACACAGAAAATGACAAGGTGTGTGAGATTCAAGAGATTCCAGGAGGTCTTCACAAGTCCAAGGAGAAGCCCCTGTACTAAGAAAAAAGGCGGTAAACCAAGCAACCTTGGAGGAATTTGAGCTTACCAGAGACGAGGTCAAAAATAATCTGTTGGAGCTGAATGTGACAAAGACTGTTGGGCCTGAGAGAATCTCACCATGGATACTAAAAGAGGGTGCAGAAGCACTAAGTGTGTGCAACTCTCTATGGTATATAACAGGTCACTGGAAACAGGAGACCTACCGGAAAGCTGGATGACAGCTAATGTAGTCCCAATATACAAAAAAGGTGACAGGCAAGAGGCACTGAACTACAGGCCAGTTTCTCTAACTTGTATACCATACAAGGTGATGGAGAAGATCGTGAGGAAAAGGCTCGTAGAACATCTGGGGAGAAGGAACTTTATAACACACCACCAGCAAGGGTTCGGGGAGGGTAAATCGTGTCTCATAGGCTTAATAGGCAAACAGAATATGATCAGGCAACAAAAATTAGGCAAGAAAGAGAAGGGTGTGCAGACTGCATTTTTTTAGACTGTCAGAAAGCCTTTGACTGTTGCAAAAGTTGGAGAAACAGTCAGGAATTAAAGGTAAGGTGCTCCAGTGAATAAGGGAGTATTTAAGCAACAGGAAACAGCGAGTAACTGTGAGGGGAGAGACATCAGAGTAGCGAGATGTCACCAGTGAAATCCCAAAGGGCTGTACTTGGACCCATCCTGTTTCTGATATATGTAAACAATCTTCCAGAGGGTATAGATTCGTTCCTCTCAATATTTGCTGATGATGCAAAAATTATGAGAAGAATCAAGACAGATGAAGATAGACAGAGACTACAGGACGACTTGGACAAACTGGAGGAATGGTCTAGAAAATGGCTACTAAAGTTTAACTCAGGAAAGTATAAAGTAATGAAATTAGGTGAAGGGAACAGGAGGCTGAACAGAAGGTACTATATTATAGCAGAAGAGTCGAATAGAGAGAAAGATCTGGAGGTTGATATAACACCGAACCTGTCCCCAGAGACCCACATCAAAAGGATATCATCAGCGGCATTTGCTAGGTTGGCCAACATAAGAACTGCCTTTAGAAACTTGTGTAAGGAATCGTTCAGGACCTTGTATAGCACTTATGTCAGACCATTCCTGGAGTATTTAGCTCCAGCTTAGAGTTCATGCCTAGTTAAACAGAAAACAAAGTTAGAAAAGATTTAGAGGTATATCAGCAGACTGGTCCCAGTACTGAGAGGTATGAGTTACGAGGAAAGGCTACGAGAGCTAAACCTTACGTTTCTGGAAGACAGAAGAATATGGGAAGACATGATCACCACCTACAAAATTCTCAGAGGAATTGAAAGGGTGGATAAAGACAAATTATTTAGCATGGGTGGAACACGATTAAGAGGACACAGGTGAAACTAAGTACCGAAATGAGCCACAGAGACATTTGAAATATTTTTTCAGTGTTATGGTAGTTAACAAATGGAATGCATTAGGCAGTGATGTGGTGGAGGCTGACTCTATACACAATTTCAAATGTAGATATGACAGAGCCCAGTAGGCTCAGGAACCTGTACATCAGTTGACTGACAGTTGAGAGGCGGGACCTAAGAACCAAAGCTCAACCCCTGTAAGCACAACTAGGTGAGTACTATGAATAACCTATTGATTGTTGACTTGTTGACTCTGGGAGGCCCGCCAAGTCTGTGTGATGAGCAAGTATAGTTGCTGGTAAAGCAAGATATACTCTGTGATTTAATAGTATTAACAAAGTACCATTACTCTTTGTGAGTAAAGTTCATCAATACAGCTTCAGTTCACTTTAATCAGTTTGCCAAAGGAGCATTAAGCAAGGATGTCCAGTGCTCAAAATGTCTTGCAACTGGCGTCTTAAACTCTAGACATTGTCGTACAATACTGTCTGCCTCCTCCTGCGGGTCAACACAACACTGTGCCACATGTCTGCCCACCTACTACACTAGTTGTTGTCATACATCAACAACTGATCATGACTGTTGGTTGAGGAGCCGTGACTTGGCAAAGCTTGGTGACAAAGACCATCACTTACATATTTGCTTCCGCTAAGTCAAATTCAGAAAATAAGCGTAGCACTGTCAACACGTCAAGCTCCACAGGATGGCTTCGGGATTCGCTCGCAGACACTGCACTTACCGCATATGAATTTTAGATTATTCATTTTGATTTCCGACTTTTTTGTCATTGAGGAGCGGAGAGGGCGGAACGTGCACCCACTCACACGGCTGAAGCACCACTGGCGGGGCAGCTCTGCGTAGATTACTACGCTGCCGGGAGTCGCGCACACTCCCTCCCTCCCTCACTATAGTCCTCCATACTACCACCCTCCTTCTTATAATACTATTTCAACATCATCTCTACACACATCAACACTTTACCCACTTGTCCATTACTTCCAAAACTGTGATGTTGAGCGTTATACTTTCCTGAGATGATCAGCTTGGTGTTGTCATGTTAATGTCAACATGGCCTCCACTACCACACCCATAGACTATTAGTTCTTCCCCGTAACTATCACTCCTCCCCGCCCCCATGCTAGTCACTTTAATATTACTCCTCACCCAAACATTCCTACCAGTACTTATAATCTTTATCAATATCTTAGGCACAAACTAAACCAAGCCTAGTCCAGAATGAGAAGACTGCTCCACCCGTCCACATCAACAATGGCCAAATGCTCGCTACCATAACACCTATAATCTAAGCCATAAAATTTATAATCTAAGCCATAGAAGCTACAATCTAAGCCATAAAAGTTCGAATCTAACTCAGTGTCAAATACTGACTTGCATAAATTTTAATGTTACTATTTCACTTTTAAACAACCATCTGACAGAATGAATACATTTCAATTGTCAAATAAAATGCAATAAAAAGTTTCTCAAACATTGGTAATTCTCTCTAACATTCAATACAACTACCTCGCTCAACCTCTCCAACCGTTCATGTGGTTGGGCACCATTCCTTTCTTCCGTCTTACCCTAAGCCGGTCGGTCGGGCGGACAGCACACTGGACTTGTGATCCTGTGGTCCTGGGTTCGATCTCAGGCGCCGGCGAGAAACAATGGGCAGAGTTTCTTTCACCCTATGCCCCTGTTACCTAGCAGTAAAATAGGTACCTGGGTGTTAGTCAGCTCTCACGGGCTGCTTCCTGGGGGAGGAGGCCTGGTCGAGGACCAGGCCGCGGGGACACTAAAGCCCCGAAATCATCTCAAGATAACCTCAAGATAAGTCCTTATCCTCATATCCCTTCTAATTGCTGTATAGCCTTAAGCCTGCGATATATAACAGCACACGGGGGATACAGTGGAACTATTTGTATACGATTCGACGAATTACCTGGAACAATTAGGGCTGAAAGGAACAACATTGTTCTTACAACAGTCAATCATTAAGGTCAGGTGATAGGGCAAGTCTGACACTGGAGTAGACACCGTGTCTAGTGAAATATGTCTCCAAGTAAAGGATCTTTCACACTCACTCTTAAGAACCTTTGAGATGCTAGACACACGTGCCAGTCAGCAGTACAGGCAGTCTTGCAGGATTTATCATCAGCACTCCTAGTTCCTCTGATAAGCTTTCTGGATGCTTAAATAGAGAGCGGAGTAGCTCGCTGAGGCCAAGGGTAAATACTGGCACCACTCAGTACTTAGGAATTCTTAGTTCTTCTTATATTCGGCAGTAAAGTGTTAGATAATTTAAATTTTTGTTTGCCCCGAGGGGCGAGTTTATTGGGCAGCGTCACTCATCCTGTGAGTGGACACACCACCATAGTGACAGTATTGGGCAGCGCCACTCATCCTGTGAGTGGACACACCGCCATAGTGACAGTATTGGGCAGCGCCACTCATCCTGTGAGTGGACACACCGCCATAGTGACAGTATTGGGCAGCGCCACTCATCCTGTGAGTGGACACACCGCCATAGTGACAGTATTGGGCAGCGTCACTCATCCTGTGAGTGAACACACCGCCATAGTGACAGTATTGGGCAGCGTCACTCATCCTGTGAGTGGACACACCGCCATAGTGACAGTATTGGGCAGCGCCACTCATCCTGTGAGTGGACACACCGCCATAGTGACAGTATTGGGAAGCCCCACTCATCCTGTGAGTGAACACACCGCCATAGTGACAGTATTGGGCAGCGCCACTCATCCTGTGAGTGGACACACCGCCATAGTGACAGTATTGGGCAGCGCCACTCATCCTGTGAATGAACACACCGCCATAGTGACAGTATTGGGAAGCCCCACTCATCCTGTGAGTGAACACACCGCCATAGTGACAGTATTGGGCAGCGCCACTCATCCTGTGAGTGAACACACCGCCATAGTGACAGTATTGGGCAGCGTCACTCATCCTGTGAGTGGACACACCGCCATAATGACAGCATTTGCTGGCGACACGACCTTCATTTACTCCAGTCCTGACCCCCTTGCTCTAAATGCCCGAAACGCTTTGCGTAATAGTGGCTTTAGGCATTGTATGTACTAGCCCTAACTATAAATCCATCACTCTTTGTAAAATCTCTTTTATGTATGTACCTTACCTAAATAAACATTTTTATTTTTTTTATTTTGAAATGTCACAGTGAATACTGAGCTAAATAAAGTTCATCACTGGTTAATTGCCAACAAACTCACCCTCAATATTGACAAAACTTTCAATATTTTATTTGGCAATAAATCCTCAAATCAAATAAATCTCAAGATAAAGAATACTCAAATTTGTAACAAAGTAGATGGCAAATTCCTTGGCGTTCTCATTGACCACAAGCTGAATTTCCAGGGACACATTCTATATCAAAAAAAAAAGTTTCAAACACTGTTGGCATTCTTTCTAAGATCAGATATTATGTACCCTGCCCTGCCCTGGTGACTCTCTATTACTCCCTCATCTATCCATATCTCAAGTATGGTATTTGTGCTTGGGGTTCTACTACCCAAAATCATTTACGTCCTCTAATTACTCAACACAAAGCTGCTATTAGGACAATATCCAACTCTGGCCCCAGACATCACTCGGTACCCCTACTCAAATCTCTGAATATGTTAGATATTAATTTAAGTCACTCTACATCCTCTCATGTGTACTCTATATAAAACGCTGAACTGTAATGCCAATCCTAACCTCAAAAGCTTCCTAGAAGGTTGTAACAGATCCCATGAGCACTACACCAGAAACAAATACCTATTTGATATTCCTAGAGTACGACTTAGTCAAACTAGAAATGCTCTACAAATCAAGGGACCCAGAATGTGGAATGACCTTCCCAATCATGTTAAAGACTGTACCTCTCTCAACCAGTTTAAGAGTAAAACTAAGTACTACCTAATTAACTCCCTGTAACCTATCTTACTTCCTAAATGTCAACCCATGTCTGCTATTTTTTTTAACAATGCTGTTTGTTCACCAAGTTGTACAATTGATGATTTCTGCCATGTTCTCTCCCCCCCCCCCATTTTTTTTATTTTTTATTCCTTTTTTCAGAACAATTTATACCTAATCCCAATTACTATTAAGTTGGTTTGTTTTCTTCCCCCACACCTTGCCCGAAACGCTATGCCTCCTATGTTGGCTTTAGGTATTGGATTTATAGATAGACCTAGAACATACAACATTATGTTTGTAAATCAACTATGTATGTACTTTCCTGAATAAAATTTACTTTACTTTACTAGGTAAGAGAATGAAGACGAGGGAGTTAGCTGAGGGACGAGCGGTGCATCCTCCCACGCTGAGCTCCTGAGGGCAACTGAGGGCCGGGAGCCAGCCACGGTTGCCAGATCTAAATTGCTGAAAGTAGCGAGTTGACGGCCTAAAAGTAGCGAATTTGTAATAAGAGTAGCCCAATTTTTTTTAGTGAATGATATGGGTTTCAAAGTAATATATTTTGTTATATAGAGTACACTACACGATGTTAATTGTTTTATTAATATTATTTCTGCACGTACACACACCCCATACTCTTGGTGTCTTATTCCTCCATTATCAGAAAATAACCGCTGCATTATGTAGGAATGCGGAGGAATTTCTGATGGAGGAGAAAGACAGTTGCGCAGCGCGTTCCGCGGCGCAGCGCCGTGGGAGCCTATATAAAGAAGAGAGGAGAAGTCCCGCCGGACCATCTCCCGGACCAAATGGTCCGGGAGATGTCTCCCGGACCAAATGGTGACCAGATGGTGCGCCCAAGAGGTTGGGCACCATTCCTTTCCCCCGTTCCATCCCAAATCCGTATCCTGACCCCTTCCGAGTGCTATATAGTCGTAATGGCTTGGCGCTTTCACTTGATAGTTCCCCCCCCCCTGAATAATATTACAAGAGCAGTATTTACGGGCTATTCATGCCCGTGCCACCTCTTGGGTGGCTTAATCTTCATCAATCGAGAGCAGTACGTCCTAACCAGACATTATATGATGATATCCTCAACAGTTGATAAATAAAAGTAATTGCGGAACTCAAGTTATCTAATACATATCATAAATGGTATAAAACCTTATCATAAGCCAAGGGATTTGTAGATCAGTATTTAAAGGGAATTCGGAAGTAATAATAATACAGCTGATGCCATCTGTCGGCAGAAGAGAACACTATCAACTGGCTGGTCAACAGTGGCCATAAGATACAGGTTACGCCATCTGTTGACATCAAATTACACTTATACAAATCATCCTACAAAATACAACTAACGCCATCTGTTGCTTTTCCAACGCACTATAAATAGCCAAACAGTAACCCATAAGGCAGGTTGTTGTGCTCGGGTAGGAAGTTCCAAGCTCCGCCCACAAGTGGTATGGGGTGCATAATAAAAAAAATAGTGGCATATCATTGGTAGAAACTCTTTGTTGCCATTCACACAACAGCCAATCACAGGAAGGAATCAGCTATAGGTGCCATCCACTTAGTAAATCATCTTAGTTCAGCCCACCAGTCCTGCTTATGGAATTTTGCTTTAATTCCATAACTTACACTGTAAGTTATAGTTATATAAGTTATAGTTATATATAGTTATATGTAAGTTATAGGTACATACACTGTACCTATTGATAATCTTCAAATTTTCTTACAATGTGCCTATTAATATTCTTCAAATTTTGCTATAAATTATCTACTTAAAATTATTTTTTAGATTAAGGACGTGCCCGAAATGCTGTGCATTTTAGTAGCTTTGCAAAAATTAAAAAATATCCATGCGGGTACAGTACTCTCATGAACCCAATGTACCTTCTTGTACATATAAATAAATAAAATAAAATAAAAATATAAATAGGAGCTGCCTCATATGTGCAAATAGGCCTTATACTGTATATAGTTTCCTTTCATTATGGTCTTAAATTTTTTATATAATTCATTGTCAGGGGACAGGCTGCCAGAGTGTATTTATACACATTAGTTCCCCGTAAAGTCAAAATACTGATCCCCGGCCCCGCCCAAGATGCAACCCAACAACAAGTTGACTAATTCCTGGGTATCTACTTACTGCTAAGTGAACAGGTGTATTTGATTAGAAATGTACCTCTGTCAATGCATTTCTATCCTGCCCGGGGGATTCGAACCCGGAATTCTCTATTGTGAGTCGTGAACAAACCCAACTGTACTACCAAGACCCTTTCCCCTTATTTCCATTTTACCAGTCTATATTTTCTGACAACTACATAATCTGCATATGTCAAATTTTGAATACTGCTATTTACTCCTATCAACACTAAATCCACATAGTTCTTTAATTTTCTTACCTTGATCTCCCATATGACTGCATCCTCATATTCTTTACTGTACATTGAACAGACATATTATTATAAAACCCGGGTAAACTTCTAGAGTAAACAAATCACTTAGTTACACCAATATCTCTTGCACAAGCACCACTTCCTTTACCCCAGTTCTACCAACTACAAATTTCATTTGGGAGTAAAAAATGCAATGTCAGTGATGTTCCTTTTATTGATACAATAACACTTCATTGTGTCAGCATATTTTTGTACTTTTTTCATTGCTCATGTGTTTTTGTATTTTTATTACTTGCAGTTAATGATTTAAGTGAAACTATTTACAGGGTGATGGATAATCCAAGGAGGTCAGTCAGCATCAGAGGTCCACAAAGTCAAATACAGTTCTTTTAACATTATCATGAACTCTTGGCTGCCAGTAATAATTATTATTTAGCGAATGGATGAATCCCAAAGAATGGCCATGCTTTTGAAAGATAATGTATCTTTCAAATGAGATAAGCATGCATAACCAGAAGTATGATAATATGAAGAGAACTGATGGATATCCTGGGAAGGCAAAGGTCATCAACAGATTTAGACATTGTTTTATGAAATCACAACCAAATTAATCATACAAATGTACAATGCATTAGAATGAACATGATAAGTAGGATGGTTTTATTGTTATTTAATTTTGAAAATGTTGTCTAAGAGTATCTTCTGTCATGGAATAGAAGTCAATATCATCAAGGCTTGGGTCATCACCCATGTATTCAGGCACACCATCATTACACTTCTGACATTCACACTCTACGATGTTGTTATAGACAGGACTGAAGGTTACTCCCGAGTCACATCTCAACTGGACTCTTATCTTTTCCATCCTGGAAGCTTTACAGCAGAAGCATGTCGAGATATGATTTGCTTGTCGACCTGAAAAAAATAATTCATTACATAAACTAAAATATTAGTCTGAATATTAGATATTAAACATGCTACGCCTTGATCTGGAGTGTAGCCAACAGATTGGAATATGAATAACAAACCTCCAGGGAAAACAGAGTGTATAGGAGCTAACGTAACCCTCATCTTCCCTCAGTTGTTAATATCAATGATTGAATGAAGTGTTGAAATTGTGAATTTCAACGAACATAATTATAAATAAATACTCATGGAGAGAGCAAGCATACTAATTCTTGACAAAAATGTAAATGTGTTCACTAGCCAGGAGAGGCAGATTTACTAGCCAGTAGAAGTGATTTATTATGCAGGAGATGCTGATTTACTAGCCAGAAGTAGCTCAATTAGCCAGTGGAGGTGGATCAACTAGCCAGTAGAGATAGATTTACTAGCAATAGAGGTACAGTAATTTACTAGCCACTAGATGCAGATTTACTAAACAATAGAAGTGGATTCACTAGCTGGTAGAGGTGATTTACTAGCCACAGACATGGATTTGCTAGGCTGTAAGGAAGAGGTCTTTTTTGGAAGAATGTGTTAGTGTTGACAACTGGACTGTGTGCGTTTGTAAGGTAAAGACATTTAGAAGTGCCACCAGTGCAGTGGCTAGTCCTGCACATGAGCAGCCAGTGCAGTGGCTAGTCCTGCACATGAGCAGCCAGTGCAGTGGCTAGTCCTGCACATGAGCAGCCAGTGCAGTGGCTAGTCCTGCACATGAGCAGCCAGTGCAGTGGCTAGTCCTGCACATGAGCAGCCAGTGCAGTGGCTAGTCCTGCACATGAGCAGTACATTGTCAGTGTGAGGAGGTTCTCCCTCTTAAATAATATAAACACCAATTCAAAGAAGGAAATAAATCATATCAAGTACATTCAGTTATTGAAAATAAGTGTATAAATCAATGTTAAATGTAGGAAACCAGTTTGGAACTCAATGAGACAAATAAATAAATAAATTGAGGATATGATTTGAAAGAAACATTATTGGTGCACTGGTGGTTGGAGAGAGAAGCATGCTGGTGATTCGTTCACTTGGCTAGCGATAATTACCCAACACAAAGCTGCTATTAGAACAATCTCTAACTCTGGCCCCAGACAGCACTCGGTACCCTTACTCAAATCTCTGAATATATTAGATATTAAGTCAATGCACATCCTCTCATGTGTACTCTATATATATAAAACTCTGAATTGTAATGTCAATCCTGACCATAAAAGCTTCTTAGAAGGTTGTAACAGAACCCATGGGCACCACACCAGAAACAAATACCTATTTGATATTCCAAGAGTACGACTTAATCAAACTAGAAATGCTCTACAAATCAAGGGACCCAGAATGTGGAATGACCTTCCCAATCATGTCAAAGGCTATACCTCTCTTAACCAGTTTAAGATGTAAACTAAGTACTACCTAATTAACTCCATGTAACCTTCCTTACCCCTTAATGTCAACCCATGTCTTACAACTTTTAAACAATGCTATTTGCTGACTAGCTTGTATATTGGCTATTTTCTACCATGTTCCCCCCCCTTTTTTATCTTTTATTTAATTTTTTTTCAATGCAATTTATACTTTAAGCTCAATTACTATTAAGTTTTAGTCAGTGTTCCCCCCCCCACCTCACCTTGCCCTGAAAATCTATGCATAATAGTGGCTTTAGGTATTGTATGTACTAGCTCTATCTATAAATCAATCAGAATGTTTGTAACTGCATCTATGTATGTACTTTTCCTAAATAAAATATTATTATTATTATTATTATTATTATTATTATTATAGTAGAGAGAACCGGCCGACGTCCAGAGATGCTCAGCGGTTTTCAACATTATGTAAAGTGCAGTGACGTGAATTTTGTGGTGCTATTGTTATTGTTATAGTTAGGTGTAGAATTTATATATACAAGTTGTGTACACGTCCCCAGTGTTCAGCTGGTATCATGTGTTTCATCCGTCTATCCTAGAGTGAGGTATTGTTGACCACATGTTCTGTGTTCTACCAATCATTGTCATGATATTTAGGTGTTAACTAGTAAGACCTTTATGTTATCATATATGGAATTTGCAATTAAAATTGTAAGAAGATTGTAAAGTAACGTAACTACTTTAAGTCCCGGTTTTAGTGGGACCAGTATTTAAAGTAATTCTTATGATTAATTCTTTTCACATGTTCTGTGAAATTATCTCCACCGTTTTAATAGTTATCTTGCAAAGTAACTTTAAGCTCCAGAAATAAACCTTGTGAAGTAACTTTATGAACTAGAAATAAAACCCTTTGTAGAGATACGACACTATCATTTTCCCTGTTTGTTACCTTAACATTGGTTGGCCCGAACTTGGGACGAAGAGTGTCTGCCCAGGTATGTTTATGTACTGGATTACTGTCAGTGTTATGATAGAGCATACATTAGGGACCTTTCTTTTTCTAGTAAGTCTATCTTGCAGTAAATATGGGTTTTGATTGTTCATACTCTAGGGTATGGCTTAGAAACTTGTGCCCCTTATAGGGCACTAGAATTGGAGTTACTAGCAAGTAGAGGTGGATTTACTAACTAGTATAGATGATTTACTAGCCAGTAGAGGTGGATTTACTAACTAATAGAGATGATTTACTAGCCAGTAGAGGTGGATTTACTAACTAGTAGAGATGATTTACTAGCCAGTAGAAACACCTTTGAAGTGACTAATAACAAACTACCCAGGGCGAGGCCCACCACAAGCGAGGATGACCTCTAAAGGGATGATCTCTGAACACTCCATGGAAGGAAACCCTAGCAGTGCAAGGAGAGCACTGAAACAGTGCCCAAGGAAGAGGGCCCTGAGCACATGCAGCTCCAAGTGCTACACTCCTGGTTCATGCTACACTAAAGTGCACAAAAAACAGTCACTAAGACAAAACACCACACAGCTAAACGCAGGACACAGGCGCCAGAGCGATAGAGAGGGCACCATGCACTTATTATGTCAGAAATTGAACTGAGGATGGAGCACCTGGCTGTCTCCCTCTCCCCATACGAGGGGGAAAAGGAGGTGGGGCGAACGAGCTGATGCTAGTTTCATGAAGTTATGATCGTCTGTTTACAGCTTTTGGGAAGTTCTTTTTGCAGTTTTGAGACTACAGTTTTGTGTCTAGCCAAGCAGTGGTCTGTTTTATTTTATTATTTTATGGGTGCTCTTCCTGGTGATGGCAAACATGAATAATAATAATATCAGTCTCCGTGGTGAAGTGGTAAGACACTCGCCTGGCATTCCGCGAGCGCTATGTCATGGGTTCGTATCCTGGCCGGGGAGGATTTACTGGGCACAAATCCTTAACTGTAGCCTCTGTTTAACTCAACAGTAAAATGGGTACTTGGTTGTAAAAACAATTCTTCGTGGGGGTCGTATTCCAGGGACCATAGGATTAAGAACTTGCCCGAAACATTACGCGTACTAGTGGCTGTACAAGAATGTAAAAACTCTTGTATATATCTCTGAGAGGGGGCCAGATTTTGTCTTGTGGTCCCCGGGTGGTGAAATAGAACTCTGTGACTGATGGCACCCAGTAGTATAGCATTATCAGTGATAGTAGCTTCAGGGAGCCACAAGGGGCTCCCACAGAAAGATATTGTAGATCACTTATTTAAGTTATTTAAGCTACTAACCTTGGCCTTGGAACATTGTGAAGGAATCACAGTGCCCAGAACACTGCCTGAAGTCTGGCACTGGGGCAGGGTTTTTACATGTTCCCACATGTCTTGTTGAGATTTGGAAGATGCCTATAGTTTCATGGGCAGGCATGGGCTTTGGTTTGCAGTCTCCTGAATAGTATAAATAAAGGCAAAAAATTAATAAGTTACAATTTTCAGGTTATTTTGAGTAACATCAAGGAAAATCTTAAAGGAAAAATAAATATTTTTAAAGAAAGTTGATACTTTAGAATTACAGTAGAATTAGTATATTCAAAATTAAAGCATTCGCTATAATTTTTGTCTAAATTCCAGAAACAGTCCAGTATTGCCCAGGACCTTGCTGCTCCTTTACCACTACTGTGCTCTTATAAAACAAATAAGATTCATATGTTTACTATTGTTAACTCTTCATTTTAAACAAATAGAACTAATTTCTAATCTAACACATTTCTTAATTACATAAAATATATTAATTATTTTGTTAGAGGACTAATAAAAACATGATAGTAATGAAGTACTGTACTTGCAATTATTCCAACCCATCCTCCAACACTGACATAACTTACAGCCACTCTTGGTGAAACACAACATTGGACGGTTATATATAAAAAGTGTAATTTCTATTATTGGAATACTCCAAATGGTCTAGGAAAGTTTAGGTTTAGTTGTTGTCTTTTTCCTCATGCCCTCTACAAAATTAATGCTGTAGTACAAAGTGAAGTTTTGGGGGTCCAACAATACATTTTGTGTAAGTTTGGCCAATAGTTGCTGTAGGTACTATCATGTGGGGATGACAGGATGATTATTTACACCCTCCTAACTGCCTCTGCTTAGCCCTGTTCACTTCTATTTCTTGTGCGTTATTCATATTTTGAGGTTATCTTGAGATGATTTCGGGGCTTTTAGTGTCCCCGCGGCCAGGTCCTCGACCAGACCTCCACCCCCAGGAAGCAGCCCGTGACAGCTGACTAACACCCAGGTACCTATTTTACTGCTAGATAACAGGGGTATAGGGTGAAAGAAACTCTGCCCATTGTTTCTCGCCGGCGCCCGGGATCGAACCCGGGACCACAGGATCACAAGTCCAGCGTGCTGTCCGCTTGGCCAACCGGCTCCCTTTAAGAAGCATTTTTCTAACTCATGATGTCCCATATTCTTGACCTTCCTCTTCTCCTAACTCAGAGTTGCTTAACTACACTCTTCACCACTATCACCATCCAGTCCTTCAATATGGCCATACCATCTGAGTGCACACCCATTAATGTAATGAGTCACACATGTATGAACTCTACATCTGTCCATAATATGATTATTCTTCATTCCCTCTATCCTCCTAAGACTATGAATGATTCTTAGAGTGTCCATCTCTACTAATATAACTAAATTTGCCATGCTCATGCCACACCAGCACTTCTCCCTCCCATAAAGCCTTCCAGCTAAATCCCTCTATATTGTAAATATCCACATCAGGATTTTAATTGCACTTGCCACTTTCCTTTCTTGGCTCACTCTACCCTAAACCTCACTTGAACAAATTTCCATTTTGTCAGTCATAAACCCTAGGTAATTAAACTCATCATCAGTTTCTAGCATTTTTTCAATTATCTGATTTCACAAAGAATGTCTTTCCATTAATTCAAAATTAGCTACTTTCACTTTTGGCAGTAATTTTTCACATACAAGTACTAACTGTACTATGCATATCTCTCTCATTCTTTAACAGAAATCTTCATATGCTTAGTTCATGCATACATTGTATGTTAGGTTTATATTGACGTCCCCCCACCTCCCAAGGTTGAATTATTGACCATTCCCAGGATGCAACCCCACAACAAGCTACCTCCTGGGTACCTATTTACTGCTAGGTGCACAGGGGCATTAGGGGGATAAGAAACGTGCCCAACCATTTCTGTCCTGCCGAGTTGATAAATAAACCCGATTGTACTACTGGCACTCTCAATAAATAGGTGGTGCCTCATATGGGTTAATAGGCCCATATATGAATGGGTGGATATAAATAGGAGTTGCCTCATCCAGGCCAGTAGGTCTTCTGCAGTTCCTTTAATATATTCAAATGATGATTACGATGGTTGACCTGTTATTCAGGGTACAGTACTTCATTACAACCATGAAGACTTGTGAAAACCATATGAGCCTAATCACTATACTGTACATATGTATTTATAATGGAATTTCATACCATGACGAATACCGCATTGGCAATCGCCACGAAAAATCAACACATTTGCACGGTAAGGTAATCATGAACCAATAGCAGGAGTTTCTTTTTGTGTCATGGTAAACTCCACTACATCCATATAGGGCTATTATTGCTCTATAATAGGGTCCCAGTAGTACAGTTAGGTTCGTTCTTAACACACAATCGAGAATTCTGGGTTCGAATCCTGGGCAGGACAGAAATGGTTGGGCACATTTCCTTTCAACTAATGCGTCTGTTCACCTAGCAGCAAGTAGGTACTCAGGAGTTAGTCAGAATGTTGTGAGGTTGCATCCTGAGTGGGGTCAGTAATTTGACCTTGGGGGGAAGGGAGGTACCTTGATAAAAGACTAACATGTATGAATACACTCTGGCTTCCTGTCCCCCAACACAGTGAATTATTATATCAATATTTGCATCATTGATGTAAAACTCTGACAATAATATTTTAAATCAGAGTATGATAAGAACCGCATTACCCCATGAAACGACATGTGACGATAACCACAATGTAAGGGCTAAAATTAGTTATTGTTAAAGTTTATGTAATGAGGATTGTGTGTTGATGTGCACTATTCAGATAAGGAAGTAAAATTAGGAAAATATTAACTTACAGAATGACAATTACTTACTTTTTTCTTGTCTGGTAATGTTGCACAATTTACAACAGCCTAATTCATCCATAAAAATCTCCTCCTCAGGACACTCAGGGTCAAAGTACGGACATTCCTTTTTGGCAGCAATAGTGGTGAGAACCTCATTACGGGCCTCACAACTGTACTCATAACAAACATCTCCGTGACTTTCCCAGCGTTCACCAATGGAGTAAGATCTGCCATCATCAACACAGTGTGTCTTGACACATTTACCACAACAATCATTGCTGGAAATAAGAGACATAAATCATTCATTAGATATGGGCCATCATTTATTTCAGCCATCTTCCATTGCTGAGCTGAATTGTAAAAATATTTACCAGAGAGCCACCATCACTATTGGCTTAGGTTGGCACAGGAATCTGGTGACTCATAAAATGTCCCTTTATTATTCATAAAGAGTTTTTCAGCAAAATTTTTAACTGGAGTTAAAAAATTTTTAATTTTTAACTAAAATTTTAACAAATGTCTTAACATTTGTGACTTCAGAAGGTAGGCAAATAAAACCAGCATTGAATATAAGGAAGCGGCGTTTTCTAGGGTGAGCCTCGGAGGTTCCCAGGAGCTATCGGGCTAATGTGTGATATACTAGACCGGAACATTAGTCCATGAAGTTCGATCTACCAGGGACCATAAGCCAGAACTTGGCCTCTTCAGAACGGTTGCAGGAAGCAATGGGCCTGGAAAAATCCCCCTGTGGTTGGGGTTTTTCCTTATCTGTCATCGACCGGGGTTAGGCACCCAGAAAGGTATGCATAATTCAGTAGCTTTAGGCATCGCTCAGTAGCTTTCAACTCTGCCATGGCATTAGGTACATTAGAGTACATGGCAAAAGGCAGTCTGCTGATTTATCACGGGGGCCTAGTGGGGAACCACCAAAATAATTGGGGGGAGGGGGTCAATAATAACCAAGGGCAGACCCCCCCCCCCCACACCAGGCAAAAAAAAAAAAAAAAAAAAAAAAAAAAAAAAAAAAAAAAAAATCTCCCCAAAAAGCACATCCCCAGGAGGAACAGAACCGGCTACTGTGTATAATGGTAGACAAGCTGCACGGTACCTTGCGCGCCCCTACCAGTGACGATACTACCTCCTACCCAAGGTCAAACAGCGGCAATGAAAACCCCAGCTGACCCCAAGGGCAGGCAATCACTGAGCAGCAAAAGATCCCTACGGAGGTAGTTCCTGAACGATTTGTGGAAGGTAACCCCAAGCCTTAAAGGCAGTACTTACAGGGCACCTAGGAAAGATGGCCTTAGGTGCATGCAGCCCCAGTACGTCTTGAATTACTTCTGGCTCACACACCACCACACAGCAGAACACCACCACAAGGCACAGCACTGATCAAAGACATGAGCCAGAGTCAAACGACCACCACTCAACACATCAGCCTCAGAACTGGGGTTGGATAGCTGGCACAAGGGGTCTGGTGCTTCCCCTTCCCCCTCCCTGGGAGGGGGAAGGCTGGGCTGAGATTGGCATGGTGGCAGTTGTAACGTCATGCTTGCTTGTTTTTAGATTTGGGAGTTCTTCTTGCCAGTTTGGCTTTAGGTAGCAATTTTGTAACCAGGGTGGAGTGTGTTTTGGGATGCCTACCTTTCTGGATGCCTAACCCGATTGATGGCAAACATGGAATGCTCCCAACCACGTGGGGGTTTCTATAAGCCATTACTCCTCGTGCCTCTGAGGGGGTCAAGTTCTGGCTCGTGGTCCCCAGTAGGCAAGAACTCCATCGAATAGACCGATGCCACGGTGTAATACATATATAGGCCATACATAGGCCAGTTCCTTGGCCCATACCTAGACAAGAGACTCAAACTTCAGCACTCACATTCAACACATAACTAAAAAGGTTTCTAAAACAGTTGGTATACTCTCTAAGATCAGATATTATGTACCCTACTCTGCTCTCCTCTCACTCTATTATGCACTTATCTATCCCTATCTTACTTATGGTATCTGTGCATGGGGTTCAATCTCTGCAAACTACCTCAAGCCCATCATCACCCAGCAGAAATCTGCTATCAGGATAATAACAAACTCTGCTTTCAGACAACACACAGCTTCCCTGTTTAAATCCCTAAACATGCTAAACATAAATTCACTCCATACATTCTCTTGTGTTAATTACATTTATAAAACCCTTTTTTTAAGTGCAAACCCTGTTCCAAAACTCTTCCTGGACAGATGTAATAGAACACAATCACCACACCAGACATAAATATCTCTTTGATATCCTCAGAGTCAAACTAAATCTGTGTAAATACTATGCAAATAAAGGGACCTAGTCTATAGAACTCCCTATTGAACTGAAAAGCTGTCCAACTTTTGCCTTATTCAAATATAAAACCAAAAAGTACCTAATTTCATCTTCATAGTCTTCTACCTAGAGCTTTATCTTCACACTGTTTCTAGTGCTACCCAATCCCCCATTCTTTGTACCTAAGCCAGATTCTTCACCATTGTAATCTTAGATCTTCTGTTATCATGGTTGTTGTATTGAGTGCATATTCTACTGCATTACTCCTTGTAATGATCCTCATATTGTGCTTCAGTGACCCAATGTATAACCCTGACATGTTTTCCTAATTGTACTTAGCATTCCTTGTTCATTATTGTGTATGGTTATTATCGTGTATTATTTTAATCTGCTCTTGGGTCAAAATTTCTTGCAATGTACCTGTAAGCATTTCTTTTCTTTTGACAATTTTACTATAATTATTCTGCTTGAAATTATCTGTACCTGTAAAGTAAAGCTGTAAAGTACCTGTTAAACACTTCTTGTCAATTTTACTCTTAATTCTCTAAAACTATCTGTTAGTTTAAGGATTTGTTATAAGGTTAGTTTAAGGACTTGCCGAAATGCTATGTGTGCTAGTGGCTGTATATAAATAAATAAATAAATAAATAAATAAATAAATAAATAAATAAATAAATAAATATATATATCACCCCGGTATAGCTCTGGGGAGCCGAAGGGGCTCTCCACAGTAAAGTCAACCAAACCTTAGGAACAATCAGTAGAAACTTAACCTCGAGGAAAAGAAAGTGGTTGTTAAGATGTACCAATCAGTGGAGAACCTCATCTGGACTACTGTTTTCAAGCATGGAGACGTTACCTCCAAAAGAATGTAACTGCTTCGAAAAAATGTTTAGTGCATAGACACAAAAATCATTCCAGTACTAAGTCAATTCTCACACTAAGAAACACTGAGGGCCTCAAGACTAACAACAATACAAACCAGACAAGACAGAGCTGAACTCAATCAAGACCTTTAAAATATTGAACAAATTGTTTGATATTAGTCCAGAACATTTCTTTAAAAGGTTCAATGCAACAATCACACAAGGGCCAACAATTTGAACCTCAATAAGACACAATGTAGGACACACAACTGCAGATAAATTTTTCTCCATGAAATTGTCACAGCCATAAATGCCAAGACCGTGATCCAGTTCAAAATTCACCTGGAATATTTTTTTCATGAACAGTGAGTGAGTGGCCATGTTCTGTCCTCGACAAACATGGCCACTAGAGACCACTCTTGGAAAAATTCAGGTAAATACAGGTTTTTCAAATTTACCTGAAAGGTAATGGTGGAGCATATGTTGAACCCAGGTCACACTTTGTGACACAATTTGTCTCCTTCTCCCTACGAGTAGCATTTTGATCTGCACCGGCTTCACAGGTGATAGTCGCACAATTGTCCTGGGGGTCTTGAACACTTTCCCCAATCTGTCAGAGAAAAAGTATGGTAATAGAGTATATAAATATGAAAAATATAAAAAATTAAAGGTTCATTTAATATTAAAATACACTCAGTAACATGGAGTAATTATTTTACAGTACTGTATAGACAAAGTTATTTACACAATACTAATGTGCAAGAATGCTGTGATCCCTCAGTCAATAAAGTTTGAAGTGTAAAAATATAATATATATATATATATATATATATATATATATATATATATATATATATATATATATATATATATATATATATATATATATATATATATATATATATATATATATATATATATATATATATATATATATATATATATATATATATATATATATATATATATATATATATATATATATATATATATATATATATATATATATATATATATATATATATATATATATATCTATCGAGTACAAAAAACTTCAACTTACAGGGATGTGAATGCCATCTAAAAGGCAAGTGACACGGGTATAGAGAGAGCAGCACTCTCCAGGCACTTTGCTCTCCTCAAATACATATTTCTTTAGATCGTCTTCGCTTGGTTTGGAACACTGAACATCTACAGCCTGGATCTGAATCTGGTCCTGAAAATACAATACTGTATTGAATTGCCATATTAAACTTTAAAAACCATTAAACACAAATAGCGTAATAAAATATATAATGTAAACAATTAAATCAGTAGGTGTAAAAGTTATTTATTATACAACTTTGAAATAATACAAGTAAGATACAAGTCAGTAATTACATTAGCAGATGGCACAACAGAAGGAATACAGAATTATATGAACATGTTTGCTGATGATGCTAAGATACTAGGGGAAGATAAGAAACTTAAGATGATTGTCATGCCCTTCAAAATGACTTGGACAAAATAAGTGTATGGAGCACCACTTCACAAATAGAATTTAATGTGAATAAATGATATGTTATGGAATGTGGAATAGGAGAATACTGACCTCACACAACCTACAAATTATGTAAAAAAGCTTAAAAAAATTATAATAAAGAAAGAGAGCTAGGGGTGGTTCTGGACAGAAAACTATCACCTGAGGACCACATAAAGAACATTGTGCAAACATCCTATGCTATGCTTTCCAATTACAGAATTGCTTTTAACAACATGGATGGTGAAATACTGTACTATGGAAATTGCTCACGATCTTTGTGAGACCAAAGCTGGAATATGCAGCGGTTGTGTGGTGCCCATATTTTTTTTTTTTTTTTTTTTTTTTTTTTTTTTTTTTTTTTTTGATATATACACAAGAGTTGTTACATTCTTGTAGAGCCACTAGTACGTGTAGCGTTTCGGGCAGGTCCCTTGAATACGATCCCCTGCCGCGAAGATTCGTTTTTTCATCCAAGTACACATTTTACTGTTGCGTTAAACAGAGGCTACAGTTTAGGAATTGCGCCCAGTAAATCCTCCCCGGCCAGGATACGAACCCATGACATAGCGCTCGCGGAACACCAGGCGAGTGTCTTACCACTACACCACGGAGACTGTTTCTTAATCTTAAGAAGCACATCAACAAATTGGAAAAGGTGCAAAGACATGCCACTAAGTGGCTCCCAGAACTGAAGGACAAGAGCTATGAGAAGAGGTTAGAGGAATTAAATATTCAAAAAACTAAAAGATAGAAGAAAAAAAAGAGACGATATAATCACTATGTACAAAATACTAATGGAAATGACAGAACTGATAGGGAAGAATTCCTGAGCCCTGGAACTTCAAGAACAAGAGGTCCTATATTTAAGCTGACTAAACAAAGCTGCCAAAGAAATATAAGAAAGTTCGCGTTCTCAAACAGAGTGGTAGACGGATGGAATAAGTTAAATGAGAAAGTAGTGAAGGCCAAAACTCTCAGTAGTGTCAAAGCATTATATGACAATGTTGGGAAGACAGGACACCTCGAGCATCCTGTAACTACACTTAATTAATTACATTTGGGTAATTACTAAAGTTAACTCACATGTTTATCTGTTGAGCAAGTATAGGTGGTGCACAGGTCCTCGGAGACCCAGGTTGCATTCACAGGCTTCACTTCACCTTCCACAACACAGGCAACCTGAGGAAGAATCACTCGCTAACATAGCAACACGCTCGGGAATTTTGTTTAATTAACACTGCATAAAAAGCGCAGACATAAATCAATAATGTAGTTTCTAGTATGTTCATTCTCTCTCCTTCAAGTGTAAATTAAGATTTTAGTGGAATATGAAAGATGTAAAGCATTATAAGGACCACATTCCTAAATTACAAATTAAATGGAAGTTAATAGGCTGGACATTTAAATGGGGCAAAATAATAAGAAGCCCTTCTGTCCATACATTCAAATTGTAAAGTTTATATAAAATATATTGCAGCATTTTTCAGCTATGCATTCAAAGTGTCAATTATCCAAAAATTTATAGAATTCGTTCACATACTTTATTACCCCATTTGTTTTGCAAAAAAGAAGTAAGAAGCAGCAATCAGAGTATAAGGCAGCAAAACACCTTCTCGGGAAACAGAATGAAACGACTCCAACTGCCCTTCTCATTATTCCTAAACATCTACAAATTGCAGGTACTGTATTCTCAATTCCTCAAAAACCTGCAAACATTAAACCACTTTTCTAAATATCATCCCTGAGAGGTGCTTTACAGTCTAATAGCCTAATATTTAAGTCACTTTGCACATATTTGTGGAGAGCCCCCTCTGGTTCCCTGGAGCTATATCGGGCTGATATGCATATATTAGACCATGGCATTAGTCAATTCGATTGGAGCATGCGGGTCCGACAGAACGTATGCCACGCTCCCAAAGAAAAGAAAGGACAATAACCAAGGGGCAGACCCCCCACCTGGCAACAAACAAAAAGAAAAGAAAAACCCTGCAAAAGTACGTCTCCAGGAGGAACAAAACCGGCCGCTGTGATAATAGGTGACAAGCTGCACAGTACCTTGTGCCCCTACTAGTGAGGATACTACTCCCTTGTGCCCTACTAGTGAGGATACTACTCCCTTGTGCCCTACTAGTGAGGATACTACTCCCTTGTGCCCTACTAGTGAGGATACTACTCCCTTGTGCCCTACTAGTGAGGATACTACTCCCTTGTGCCCTACTAGTGAGGATACTACTCCCTACCCAAGGTCAAACAGCAGCAATGAAAACCCCAGCGGACCTCAAGGTCGGGCAATCATCAAGCAACATAAAATCCCTACAGCGGTAGTCTCCAAATGACTTGAAAAAGGGGTTGCCTTTTTCAAGTCATTTCATCTGGGGCAACCACCCCCCCAGAGCAACCAACCCCGGGGCAACCAACCCCAGGGCAACCACCCTTGAGGCAACTACCCCCGGGGTAGTCACATAAAAGTTTTTGTATTTTTCCCCCGTGATCAGGGAATGCATAACAATATTAGGACATTGTTTTTTATGCACACCTGAGTGTTGCTGGGTGTAAACAGTACTCGCCAGTGTACAGATTCCTGAGCCTACTGGGCTCTATCATATCTATATTTGAAACTGTGTATGGAGTCAGCCTCCACCACATCCAGCACAGTGGCACATCCCAGGAGTTAAGAAGCCCTCAACACATCATGAATATCTAGATAAGTATTCAGGTGGTTCAATGAGGGAGGAAGTCCATTCAATATAATTAATTAGACCTGAGGATTGGCTGTTTTACTGCTATGTGAACAGCGGTATCAGGTGAAAAGAAACATTGCCCAAATGCTTGTATCCTACCATGAGATTTGAACACAGACCCTTTCAACTATGACCCGAACTTACCTAGTACCTTACTCTCTGAAAATATAAATATAATATAATTTCTTATTATCACCACTTTACCCTAATGGTAATACAGTAAATATATAAACTTTCAAATTAATCTTATCAGCTTTAAGACTTGCTCGATATGCTGTGTGTTGTGGTGGCTTGCATGAAGGGATGTAAACAAATCTGTACAATTACAATGACACAAATGTTTTTGCTTTGGTTATATTAAGTAGGGATGCATTTATGAAACATACAACACTGGAAAATAATAGGTCAAATATAATATTTCCAAACAACTTTGTTAACTCCCAATTTCATTTCATTCAAGATTTCAATACTATTTAAGCCTGAGCTGTAATGTTGTTTGGTGAAAGAAGAAGGAAAGTAAGAGTTGGTACCTGGACACACTCTCCACAGCACTGTTGAGGGTAGAGAGGCGACGGTTCATATTCCCAGCCTGCAGGGCACGATTCATCACACGAGTAGATCTTTTCTATTTTATCCACCTTGCCTTCTGTGGTCTTCACGCATTCAACACTTCGACATGCATTCAGCGGGTCACTGAATGTCTCCCCAATCTGAGGAAATATTAGCTCTAATATTAAAAAATTAAATAATATAGAAATAATGCACAATGCACATAATGTACAAGCCATAATGGAGGGGGTGATCAGGATATTAAGTTAAATAACAATAGTTGAAAGTACACACACAGAGACTATACAAATACATTCATATAAAATTAACCCAAAAATACATAACACAGAATTAACACACATACAGAGGAGATGCAAATAGAAACTGATAATATGAATTAGGCTACACAGAGAGCTGCAAGAAAAAATTCCTTCAGTTTAGGGCATTAGTGAGTGGAATACCTTAGAGAAAGATGCATCAGAGACAAACAATACATGGATTCATACGTAATATGAAAACTACTAACTATCGGGTTAGGGAGGAAACACACCAATCAATTAGTAGTAATAAGACAGCCCAGGAGCTAGAGTTTGTTCCCTCCCCCCCCATGCTCAACTGGGCGAGTACACACATGAAGCTTTTTCCCGACAAACACAAATACTTTATCACATCACAGAAAAAGGTGACACCCCTAATGATAACACTTGCATCAGAGGAACTCCAGGATATTTCACAATCCCTAAGTATTGTAGTACAGGTTGATGATAGTGAGTGGTGTCCCAAGGAACATAAAGTTGTAGTGCTTTAGAAAAAGAGGTGAGATAACACGAATGTGCAAAGTGAAGTGAAAAATTGTATGAGAAAAAGTGACCCTAGTGTTTACAGTGCAGACAACATTCAAGATGTCTACCAGCAAGAAGGAAAACAAAACAGAGCTTGATTTTGGGGGTTTTAATGAAGAAAGCATTGATATAAGCAATTACACAACAAATTGGCAAAGTTAGATATTATAGTGAACTATCATGTAGAAATAATCAGCAAATTGAAAGAGAGTAATGAGCACTTGAGTGGCAAGGTTTTAGGTCTTGAGGGGTTAGTGAAAGACTTATGCAAGGACAAGAATTAATTGGAAACAAATTGCAAAGCCATGGAAGAGGAAAATAAACTCTTAAAAATAGCTTTGAATGAATTTAAAGCAAATTTAAACTTAAATGACTACAATAGGTTAGGCAAGGAAATTCAACAGGAAAAACAGCTTTTGTCAGTACAGATGGAGGAAGTTACACAGGGAATAGAACAATGCAAGAAAGATATGCAACTCACTTATGCACAAGTGGCCAAGGAGAAGGAAAAAATAGAAGAAACAGTAAAGGAAGCCAAACACTGCAGCAACCAGGATAAAACAAACATTAGGCTGGAAGTCTGAAAGGAACTGGCATCAAATCCTAAATTGGTGCAAAACACAGTTGATCGAAGTAAGTCTCTGATAATTTTTGGTTGCAAAGAAAAGGAGATAACATCCAGGCCAGAAAGAGCTGTAGAAGAAGAGAAAGTAGTAGATAAACTTGTTGGCCTCGTAGAAGGTCTTACTACCATAGAGAATGTCTGCAACTACAGAAGGATTGGAAAGTACGTAAAAGGGAAAGATCGACCTTTGAGGATCACCCTGAACGGTGTCAAACAGATGGAAGAAGTATTAAGGAATGCTAGAAAATTACAAAGTCATGCGGTAGGAAAAGTATGGTCGTTAAGACAAGATCTTTCAAAAGAAGACAGAGAGAAGCTGAAACTGAACCTCGCTGAGGCAAAATTTTTAAATGAGAGCAGGAATAAACAAGAAATCAATTCTTTTTTCTACAAAGTGATAGGGGTAGGCAGACCAGTAAAGTGGTACATAAAGGCAAACCAACAAAAGGATTAGAGAGAGGGGAAGTGAAGAATAAGGAGAGGGGGAACAAGTTCCTAAAGATTGCATACACCAACATAGATGGAGTGAGATCAAAGATATTGGAGTTAAGTGATGTAATACAGCTGCAGACACCAGACATTGTTGCACTCACGAAGACAAAACTTAAAGATGATATTTTAAATGAGGTCATATTCCCAAGGGGCTACTCAGTTTGGAGACGGGAAAAAAAAATTAGGAAAGGCGGTGGCGTTGCTGTGCTGGTGAAAGAACACCTAAAGGCAAGTGAAATAATAATTGCCAATCGACAAGAAGTTGACATAATAGCACTAGATCTGCAATCAGGATGATAAATTAACAATCATAAATGCATATAGTCCACCGCCAAGCAACACATGGACAAAGGAGGAGCTAGATAATAAATGAGAGGGTCTTATAACAATAATAAGAGAAATTGTAGTGAGCTGATAAAGATAGATCAAGACTGTTGGTAGTTGGCGACTTCAACTTAAAATCCACTGACTGGGAGGCATATGAAGCTGGAATAGAGGATTTTTGGACTTGTAGATTCATAAACCTCATCCTGGAAACATTCATGTTTCAACATGTTAAACAAGCTACGAGAATGAGGGAAAGGGATGTTCCCTCCATGTTGGATTTAATATTTTCCAGGAAAGAGGAAGAGATATTTGACATTCAGTACCTCCCTCCCTTGGGTAAAAGTGACCATGTCTTTTTGGGAATAAAGTATGCAATGCGTAATAATCTGAAAGAAAATGAGGTTGAAGCAGTTGAAAAGCCTGATTTCAGGAGAGGTCATTATGTGAAACTCAGACATTTCTTTAAGGAATTTGACTGGAAAGACTTGCTGTTAGGACATGAGGTAAATAAGATGTATGTCAAGTTTTGTGAAATATATGATAAAGGCACAAAAAAATTTATACCAAAGCAGAGATGCAGAATTAGGACACAGGATTGGTTCGACAGAAATTGCGAGAGGGCCAGAGACCAAAAGACACAAAAATGGAATCAATATAGGAAGAGGCCAAACCCCCAAACATACCGGCGATACAAAGATGCGAGAAACAACTACACGGCAGTAGGCCAGTGTAGGCCAAAACCATCAGTAATTTCAAAGCGTTATATGACAAAGAGTGCTGGGAAGATGGGACACCACGAGTGTAGCTCTCATCCTGTAACTATACTTAGGTAATTACACTTAGGTAATTACATACGGACAATGAAGTGAGTTAACAAATCAAACTATAGCCACAAAAGAAAGAACAGCACTCAACTTTAAAACGTAAGTGGAGAAATTGATGAGACAAAATTACAGAACCCTTCACTGTCTACAGTATACAAGTCCTTATCTAGATAAGGTAGCTGTTAGGTACAAACACATGACAAAATATGCACTCTGATATCATTACCTCTTCCAAATTTTTGCAAGGAAAATGCTTCATTAGTGTTATTCTAAAATAATTAAGTTCTTGTTCAAGGGGGGTTATTTTTTATACTGTATAATTTAATCCCCATAAAAATGACTGCTGTACAAGTGAACCTTGTGTAAAGTCTGGGTTAGGGTCCTGATTATCACATCATTAACTGAAACACACAAAGAAATCCCACTAATGTGATGCATTGATGAGAAAATCAATTGGAGTAATGCAATGACTCAAACCAGCTATCTGGATATTTCCAGCTATGCACCTTACCCCTGGACCACAACATGGTAAAGGTTATACAACCCAGGATTCCACTGAATCCACAGGAAGTCTGGAGGCCCAACTGAAGCCAGTCCACATTTTACATATAATGCCCCATGCACTCTGGTGTAGGTAAAGGCATTCATCAACCATTAACTTCATTCAAATACACAAAGAAATCACACTAGTGTGATATATGAATGAGAAAATAAATTGGAACAATGAAGTAACTTGAATGAGTGATCTGGATACTCCTAGTCATGCACCTTAACCTTGGTTTCAGTCACTGCATTGCTGCAATTGATTTTCTCATCGGTGTATCACATTACTGTAATTTATTTGTGTATTTGAAAGGAGCATATGGTTGACTAACTCCTTTACCTACACCAGAGGTGCCTGGAGGCTATATGTAAAACTTGGACTGGTTCAGTAGGGGCCTCGATGTCCTACAGATTCAGTGGAACCCCAGGTTGTATAACCAACATGTCATGATATACGAGTAAGGTGCATGGCTGGGAGTACCCAGATCACTGTTATGAGTCGCCACATTGCTTCAACTGATTTTCTCTTTAACTGAAACAACATTAAGTGAATCTGAAAACTTTTAGCTAACATTAGTTTCTGTAAACAAATTAATTTTTAGTATAAATAGAGTAAGACAACATTTAAGTTAGATTTCATATACAGTATGTTTTATATATGTACCGTAGGTTTTTCATACTGTTTTATTTATCCATGTTGGGAAACTTAGGAAAACAGGACTGTTTGTGCCTGATGCTATGGAAGGTTTAAATTTATTCATTTTTCTCGCAACGTAAAATCAAAATGACATTAACTGAGGTCACATAATATGAGGTTCACCTGAGTACTGAAACTATTATAAGATGGCAGAAATTACTTACCTTAATAACTTCATAGTCATCAATACATGCAGTTCTGGTTACTGTAGGGCAGCATTGACCTGGTGTTTCTACACTCTCCAGTTCGTAACGACCACGGTCAGGATGACTGTCAAGAGTTGGGCACGTTTGCTTGGTACACTGATGTCGTGGGTGTCCTTCACTTTCTTGTAAACATTTACAATTCAAACACAAGCCATCTTCCCAGCTCTCATTAACCTGTGAAGATATGCCACAACTTAATTTTGTATCAGGAACAATTTGACACAAATTTTATGAAGTCTGGATAAATAAAATACTGTATAACTAAAATAAATAAGAAGGGAGACTGTCGTAGGCTGGTCAGGGTTGACCCCATTAAAAGGGCATCAGCTCCCATGGTAACCCCTGTGAAATCACTGGCGATGAGATGTGGCTAGCCAGGACCCTAAAATTTCATGATTTAAAGCCACCATGTAATTAATTATATATATATATATATATATATATATATATATATATATATATATATATATATATATATATATATATATATATATATATATATATATATATATATATATATATATATATATATATATATATATATATATATATATATATATATATATATATATATATATATATATATATATATATATATATATATATATATATATATATATATATATATATATATATATATATATATATATATATATATATATATATATATATATATATATATATATATATATATATATATATATATATATATATATATATATATATATATATATATATATATATATATATATATATATATATATATATATATATATATATATATATATATATATATATAATATATATATATATATATATATATGTATGTTGTACCTAGTAGCCAGAACGGACTTCTCAGCCTACTATGCAAGGCCCGATTTGCCTAATAAGCCAAGTTTTCATGAATTAATATATTTTCTCTAATTTTTTTCTTATGAAATGATAAAGCTACCCATTTCATTATGTATGAGGTCAATTTTTTTTTATTGGAGTTAAAATTAACGTAGATATATGACCGAACCTAACCAACCCTACCTAACCTAACCTAACCTATCTTTATAGGTTAGGTTAGGTAGCCGAAAAAGTTAGGTTAGGTAGGTTAGGTAGTCGAAAAACAATTAATTCATGAAAAGTTAGCTTATTAGGCAAATCGGGCTTTGCATAGTAGGCAGAGAAGTGCATTCTGGCTACTAGGTATGACATACATACATACATACATACATATATATATATATATATATATATATATATATATATATATATATATATATATATATATATATATATATATATATATTATTATATATATATATATATATATATATATATATATATATATATATATATATATATATATATATAAATAAAATTCCATGCATATATATAAGGTTGCCATGCAACCTCCGAAGAGTCAACTAACACAACACTTATACTCCCTATTAGACTGTTTTACAGGAACATCTTTTTGACGGCTCATAAAACGGAGGAAAGGGTCTTGAAAGACATTATTGATAAAAACGTTATCCCTACAGACAAAATTAGAAAATACAATTGACAATCTACACCAAAAACAAAAAATGGCCAACTCATGAAAAACTCTCCAGACACCAAACAGATTGCCTTGAAGCAGGCGATGAGTCACAATAACATGGCAAAAGTATGTTGACCAGACCACACACTAGAAGGTGAAGGGATGACGATGTTTCGGTCCGTCCTGGACCTGGACCGACCAGGGAGCCGGTCGGCCGAGCGGACAGCACGCTGGACTTGTGATCCTGTGGTCCTGGGTTCGATCCCAGGCGCCGGCGAGAAACAATGGGCAGAGTTTCTTTCATCCTATGTCCCTGTTACCTAGCAGTAAAATAGGTACCTGGGTGTTAGTCAGCTGTCACGGGCTGCTTCCTGGGGGTGGAGGCCTGGTCGAGGACCGGGCCGCAGGGACACTAAAAAGCCCCGAAATCATCTCAAGATAACTCAAGATAACCTCAAGATTCTCAAGTCGATTGACAATCGACTTGAGAATGGTCCAGGACGGACCGAAACGTCATCGTCCCTTCACCTTCTAGTGTGTGGTCTGGTCAACAGATTGCCTTGAAGGAAACCAACGTCGTCTCTGCCTTCACATGCCCGCTTGGGGACTGTATGCTCCAAAGAACTCAGTATATAGGCAACACAACAACGTCTTTTTCTAGGCGATTAACTATGCACAAACAACAAGGCTCCATCAAGGAACATATAACCTCTTCTCACAACCAGAGCATCACCAAAAAAATCTTAACAAGCAACACAGAAACCATTGATAAATAGAGCGATAGCAGGAGACTCGACATCAGCGAGGCGTTACACATCAAAAAGTCAACACCAGCAATCAACAGCCAATTAATGCACAACAATATTCTACCCACTTCAAGACTCCATACCAATATAGAAGCATCAAGAGGAAGTATGGGCCAATAGGCCCTTTGCAGTTATTGCAGGGAAATTTATTTATTTATTTATTTATATATATACAAGAAGGTACATTGGGATTGTGAGGATACATAGCATAGTAATTACAATCTTGTAAAGCCACTAGTACGCGCAGCATTTCGGGCAGGTCCTTAATCTAAGAAAATTTTAAGTAGGTAAATACTTGCAAAATTTACAAAAAATGATAACAGTTACAAAGCAAGAAAAAAAAATAAAAGATGATAAAAAATTGTAGGTATATTAAAGCACATAGGTAGCTCAGATTGATTGCAATGACAGCTTGAATGGTAGTTTAACAAAAACTAGTAGGCACAATACAGCATATGGCTAGCACATAAAAGAAGACAGCAATGAACACAATGATAAAGTTGTTTGGGTTAAGTACATAAAGATTGGGAGATTGGGTAACACTAGATACAGAGCAAATTTAAAGCTCAGTGTAGGAAACTACAAAGATGAAATTAGGTACTTTTTGCTTTTGTTTTTAAATGAGGCAAAAGTTTGACAGCTTTTCAATTCACTAGGGAGTGAGTTCCATAGACTAGGTCCCTTAATTTGCATAGAGTGTTTACAAAGATTAAGTTTGACCCTGGGGATATCAAAGAGATATTTATTTCTGGTGTGGTGATAATGGGTCCTATTACATCTGTCCAGGGAGAGTTTCAGAGCATGGTTTGCATTTAAGAATAGGGTTTTGTAAATGTAGTTGACACAAGAGAATGTGTGGAGGGAGTTAATATTTAGCAAGTTTAGGGATTTAAACAAGGGAGCTGAGTGTTGTCTGAAAGCAGAGTTTGTTATTATTCTGATAGCAGAATTTTTGCTGGGTGATGATGGGCTTAAAGTGGTTTGCAGAGGTTGAACCCCATGCACAGATACCATAATTAAGATAGGGGTAGATTAGTGCATAATATAGTGAGAGGAGAGCAGAGTTAGGCACATAATATCTTATTTTAGAGAGTATACCAACTGTTTTAGAGACTTTCTTAGTTATGTGTTGAATATGGGTGCTGAAATTGAGTCTCTTGTCTCTTGAAATGAAGCGCAAGACTGAAGCCAAGTCCCCACGGGCATGCAAATCCTCGGTCACCAGGGATGCAAAGGGAGGGAACCTGCACGTGAAGCCGCACCTGACTGACATCATAAGGAAAGAAGGGGGGCGAACACGGTCCGACAGAATGAATGCGCGGTCCGACAGAATGAATGCGAAGTCCCCAACGAAAAGAAAAGACAGTCTGCCAGCCAGAAAGACTCCGGCACCTCATAATGCACCCAATAAGGAAAAGAGGAGCCAAACTAAAAAGAAGAAGGCTTCATTATTGAGGCGTAATCTGGGTCTCGCAGGAGATAAGCCTCAAGGGCCTCCCATACCTTCCTCGGTGGGATGCTGGAAACTAAAATCCTCCGGAAGGAGGGAACCGAAGAACCCAAGGGAACTTTGAACTGAAGCCAGGGAGGAGTCGAACTCATACCAAAATTGTACAGGGAGAGGGATTAAAAAAAACCCTCCCCCTGTAACAACAAGCCCTATGCTGAGGGTACCAACACTCAAGCAGGGTCAATTGGGGCCCAAGCCCTCCCCAAGTCAATTTCTTCTCAGCCCCGGAATCCTCCACGTCAGGACCCCGGGGCCGAACCGTCCTCTAAACCCTCTGACTCTCTAGAAAAAACAGAGCCCACCGAAAAAGCAGGGATGAAGGGTGTCTGCTGGCGCAACCCAAAAGCTCCGGCAGGAGGAACAGGTTCGAATGCCTCCGCTGCCGATCCGGAAGTGGCAATCTCCAATGCCGCCCGAGTCTCACTACCAGTATAATCAAAGCGGAGCAGCTGCGGTGCATCCGGAACGGCAACCAACCTTGCCCATTACTGCAACCTAAACCTCGCATGCAACGCTAATGCTGTCTGCACCCAATTATCAGTTTCAGTGGACTGGGTGAATGGAGTACAAGCAAAAAACACCACTTGCAGGACTCCGGGTCAAAGGTGTCACCGACCCAACAGGCAGCGTGACGGAGGCAGACGGTGAGTGTCACCCTGAGACAAGGGGACAAAGCAACCTTCAAACTCGCATAAGGTGAGGTGGAACTCAAGAGGTCTCCTTCATTGGACCACTGAACCCCAATAGGGGTTTCCAGAACCCTTAGGCTGACTGCTAAGGGAAGCCCGGACAATCGGACTGGTAACCGATTATCCCAGAGCTACCAAGCAAACTAAAAGCTGAACCCCTGCGACATATGTGTAAGCACAGGGACCTAGTGGAGGGCCACCAAAATCCTATAAGTGGTCCTACCACCACACAAGGCAGACCCCCATCGGGCAAATCAAAACAAAAACCCAAAGAAGAAAACCCACAAAAGCACAACGTCTCCAGGGAAACAGAACTGATCGCAATGCGTATATCAGACAGCAGCACAGTACCTCACGCCCCAGCCAGCAACGAAACTACCTCCTACCCATGGGCAAACAGGAGTAAGAACCACCCCAGCTGTACCCCCAAGGGCGGGCACTCACCGAGCAGCGACAGAACCACATGGAGGTAGCTGCTCCTGAACAGCTTATGGAAGATAACCCTGAGGCCGCAAAGGCAGTACTTACGAGGCACCTAGGGAAGGTAGCCATAGGTGCATGCAGCCGCAGTACTCTTGTGTTACTTCTGGTTCACACACCACCAACACAGAGCAACAACACCGCTATGCAGCACTACGCAAAAAGTGGAGCCAGAGCGATCGACGGTCACCATCACAACAGTCTCTTGAACTGAGGAGAGTTGCCGGTGTGGAGGATTGGGATCCCCCGTCCCCCTCCCAGGGAGGGGGGGGGGGGGGGTTTGCGCAGACTGATGCGCAGCGGTTATGGTAACGTCATGTTTGTTCCTCGTTTTTTATTTTGATTGGGAAGTTCTGTTTGCTAGTTTGGCTTTCGGTTTGCAATTTTTGACCAGCAGTAGTTTGTTTTGGAATTCCTACCTTTCTGGGTGCCTGACCTGGTAGATGGCAGACAAAGACTGCTTCCAATTACACAGGGATGTCTTTAGGCCATTGCTCCTCATGCCTCTCTTGAGGGGGGCCAGGTTCTGGCTCTGGTCCCCGGTAGGCCTAGAACTCCTTCGATTGACTGTTGCCACAGTCTAATATATACACATCAGCCCGGTATAGCTCCGGGGAGCCGAAGGGGCTTTCCACAGAAATGAACGTTATAATTAAAGCTTGACAGCTAACCATTGCCACATAAATAATCCAGGAATGATTATCGATAAGAAACAATATAATATTATATACCTTGTACAGTTTCTTCACGGGAACATCAGAAGTATTTGCTGGTTGTTGATTGCCAATGATATCAATGAGGTATTGGTGCTCATATATGCATGCATCTGCAGGATGATCTGGAGAACAAAGATCTCACATTAGACTTGTTGATATTACCATTATCTCAAATATACCACAATATAATTACAGTTATTAAAGCAAGAAACTAGAAATAATTTAAATCTTAAATTTGTTCATGTTATCATCAAAAACAAATCTTAAGAACACTTATTTACATTTCTTTCACTTCTTCTATTTCATCACCTAATCAACAGTATAAATACAGTCTTTTTGCAGATTATACACATTAATTAGGGAAGGATATCCCCCATAATATACAAAACAATCACAAAGAGTATTTGCAACATAAAGAAATCTAAAGCCCTAGCTATGGAAGGAATTTAATCCAAATTCATGAAGGAACTGAAAATGAAAGTGCTGTTTGAGAAAGAACATACCACACTTAGTCTTAGGGCAACACTCCTCCCCATTCAGCGGTTCTTCAGTCAGGGTGTGGAATTCCGGACAAGTGACCACTGGACACACTCCAGTACACTGTGTGATGTATCTGGCACAACACCCAGACTCATCTCGTATCCACTTCTCTCCTGTTGGATACAATTTAAGAGATACTGTATAATAGTTATGATTAAATGTTGTGTGTATATGTATGCATGCATGTGTATGTGTCCAGTAGCATGGTGGTCGCTGTAGTCTGCTGCCAACAAAATGGTCCTGGGTTTGATTCCAGGCTGGATGAGTCATTTAAGCATGTTTCTTTACACCCATTGCCTGTGTTTACCTAACAGTAAATAGGTACCTGGCAATTGTTGTTGGTGGCATTCTGGACAAATTCAGTCACTGGCCTAGGGAGGACCTCGATAAGCTTAACAGGCTTCCTGTTTCCAACAATGGGGAAATAATGTGTGATTAATGTGGTAGAAGATATACTGTACTGTGTACTCTTTATATAATTCATAACTCATGTTCTATTTTATACATACACACACCGAGATTTGCAGAGACTAGTGCCAGAGAAAGAGAGAGCTAAGCTATAGGGACAGGTAAGCCATTAAGCTGCAACTAACATTTATTAAACTAATTATTTGTAGATAGTATAGTGGGACTTGTGTTCATAAATATTACACTGGCAGCAATGACAAAATTGCAGGATAAATACTACTGCTAATTTCCAGATCCAGAATCTTTTGTAACAAATTAAATTGCAGTAATACAATACAGTACTTTATATTTTTGTAGGATATGAAGTAATCTTTTTATAATTTCTTCTATCTATAGCTTTAAATATCATTTCTAAAGAAGAAACTCATCAAATTATTTTTGTCTAATCATTTACAAAATGTGCACGAGGAAAGATTCAATTGTTTTAATTCATCAGCTTAAGGATTAAGATAACTCATTTTCAAACACACTATAGTACAAGAAAGATGGATAAGAAAAATTACAATTACGATACTAGTATATAAGATACTGGGGAGGGGGAGAGGAGATAGAAAAGATAGAAACAATATATTCCAAAAGAAGGGGAATAATAATGAGTCATAATTTTTTAACAAGGTTAATGCAGTTTTGGGTTGCATAGAGAAAGCCACATTTTCCCTCCGTGTTCACTGTGTCTGCTCAACATTCTAGTGGGGGCAGGGGCTCTGCCTCCTAAGAGGCAGTACCTGATACTACATGATGTGTCTTGCCCCTTAACAAAACTTTATCACTCATATATATAAGGACTTTCCTTTTGGCCCAGTTTTCTGTTGCAATCACCACCTCCCACCTTTGATGTGGTAGATGGTGTTTGCAATATAGATTGTGATTATCTGTACATTTTATACACAATACATAATTACACACACACCCCTTAAAGTGTTTATTACAACCCAGAAAATTCTCTTATGAAGTCATTGTAGGAAGAAGTCAATTAGGGAAGAACAGACATGCTTCAAACACTTTGCATTCAAATATTTGTGTAAAATCTGTAATGCAGGCAGACCTATTTGAATTATGACATAATATAACAAAATGTCTTGGCTAGATTCGTTGTGAATTTTAAAAGTTCTACATTAATAAACCCTTTTTCAGACAAACAGCTTTCATTTGGGTCCTCTCCTCCTAGTCCTACCCTTCAAATACCTTTCTTCGTCTACCATGTTGATACAGTACCACAAAGTATATTAAGTATGTTGTGATCATGTTCTGTCTTTCTTATTTCTCCAGCACTGTGAGATTTAATTCATGCAGACTGTTCTGATACCAAAGGTCAAGTGCATAACACATGATCTGAGTTACATTTGTGTGTTGTTCATATTTGTTTTACCTGGTTTAAGAGCATTATCATCAGGAGTAGACAAATATGGGCAGTCTTCTTGCTCCAGGCATACACAGGCATACTGAGGACACACGCCTGGTGCCTCTATGAGTTTCTGTCGCTGACCATATCCGCACCCATCTTTTGGCTCAACTGGTGGAGGACAATCTTCAGTAGGTTTCACTTTGCATTTCTTTCTTGGTCCACAGCATTCATCCCCAGTTCCGTTAACCTAGAGTATTGATAAGCAAGTACATTAAAATTATGTACTGAATAACCTAACCAGAAAGCTGGAATTTTGTACAGAGCTTTATATGCCATAATTTCACTTTATTATGTTAATTATGTGCCAGAAGTGGGATGACTAACCTCAACCACAATGTATCCTTCATCACAGATGGGGTCTTCAGGGCAGGTCTTGGTGCTGCAGATGCTACCTTGACTAGTACATTCACACGTGGTACAAGTATCTGTCTGCCACACCTCATTGATACGGTGCCCTTCATCATCACACGTCTTGCAGTAACTTGCATTTATACAGTTTCCTTTATCCAATACCTGAATTATAATAAGATCACAAAATATATGACACTTCAAATATATAATAAGCAAGATAAATTTGTCTATTAATTTAACAATGGTGCTAACATTAAACAATTATAGATCACAAACTTGTATGAATAAAATGCTGAAGAATGAGCATTAGAATTATGCAGAAGAGAAGGTATGAAAGATGAGAGGAACTGACCATGCCATCAAGACAGAAGCAGCCATCAACAGAAGATATGGGACAAGCCTCAGGGTTATTTTGAAGTTCCTCATAATTATCACATGTGCGTACACAACCAGGTGCACAAGACTGATACTCCTGACCTGAAATGACCCAAAATTTATAAATGCTAACCCATACAGAACTTATTTCCTTATGCATTAAAATATGTTCTTGTTGAATATAGAATAAAACAAAAATCATATGATTTTTAATGTAAGACTCACCTCCAGTGCAAGACTTTGGACATAGTTCTTCAGAGCGCCAATCTAAACAAATATCTAGGTGAGCACAGCGCCTGGCATAAGCCTCAAGACTGTGGCATGCTGCTACCTGGGGTTCACGACTACCACATGCATCAAGCTGACAAGATGACACGTAGGCTGCTGGATCCTCCACTGGGTGACACTGTTGAAAGGTTACCATTTTTAATTACTATTAACTATTTAATTATGTAAATTTAGATAACTGAAAAGACCAGCATTGTAAAGTACAGTACTGTATTTATCTGAGGGCCACTAACACTAGTGGCCTCGACAAGGACAGGAAGCCAGCAGCTTGTCAAAGGTCCCCTTCATTTGCCTTGATAATCCGTTCCAGGTGGATTTTAAACCTGACAGAGTTTTGGCATCTGCGGCTTCAGCAGATATGCGGTTCCATGGGTTTATAACCCTGTGGGTGAAAAAGCATCTCCTGTTCCCAGTCCAATATTGTGACTTATTGAACATGAAACCGTTGTTACTTGTTTGTGTTACCTTTTGAATACCTTTTCATGTATTCGGCGCGATGGTCTGGGGCTCCCCTTCCCCCCTCCTATGGAGGGGGGGGGGTTGCGCAGACAGAGGCGCTGTAATATGATGACGTCATGCTCGTTTGCTAATTTTCGTTTGGGGAGTTCTGTCCACTCGTTCGGCTTTCGGTAGCAATAGTTTCACCAGAATAGGGGTTTGTTTTGGGGCGCCTACCTTTCTGGGTGCCAGAATTTATATTTATAAATTTTTATATTTATAGAATTTATATTTATATTTTTATTTATAAATTTATAAATAAATTTATTATGAGGACCAGAGGCCAGATTGTGGCTCTGGTCCCCCATAGATGAGATGGAACTCCTATATCTGATATGACCCATTTCCTTTAAGTAATCTCAGTGAGATGGTTTCAGGGAGCCACCAGATATCATCCAGAATGAGGAATTTTATTAGATTCAATGTTGGGTTTATTAATTTAATAACTTCACCCAAAAAAATTGTTGGTTCAATGCTCTTAAATACTGATTTTACTCAAGAATGTAAATTTTTTTCAAACGTTAAATATTATTACTGTATCATTAATCAGTTTCATTGCACCAGGAAAATACATCATATAAGCTCAACATATTTAAAATAAATTCTACAAAATCTAAAAATTAAAAATAATGTATACACACCTTTCCAAATAAGTCTTCATCCATAATTTTCAGGCATGGGTCTTGGTCTGGAGGCAGTGGAATACAGAGTGTGGCATCTTTCTCCAAAACTCCGCAGGTGAGCGGTTCATTTTCTAACAACCAGCTACGTCCAAATGTGTCAACAGACTCATCAAAGCCTGTGTTCCTGTCTACTAGGTCATCTTCATCATTGTGATTACAGTTACCTGGAAATATATAAAGAATATATGTATGGGTGCTAACCTCTCTATTTATCATGTATGCCTTGTCTCAACATGCAGTATGATATCCACATACATCTCCTTGCATATCTGCACTTGTTTCACATTTATTAAAACATATTAAACTGGCATTAAAATATAATTTTATTACACACTGTAGCATATTTTATCATTTTTTCTGGGGGGGGGGGGGGGAGAAAGCCCTTTTGGCTCCCTGGAGGGAAACCAAAGGGGCCCCCCCCCTTTCTGGCCTTTCTGGGCTGATATGAATGTATTAGACCGTGGCATCAGTCAAGCGAATGGAATTCTAGGCCTACCGGGGACCACGAGCCAGAACCTGGCCCCCTCAGAGAGGCACGAGGAGCAATGGCCCAAGATGCGTCCCCTGGTCCCATCTCACCTCATGCCAAGTTTGAAGGTTGCTATGTCCCCCTTGTCTCAGGGTGACAATCACTGGTTGTGCCTCTGTCATGCTGCCTGTTGGGTCGGTGACACCTTTGACCCGAAACCTTATGAGTGGCGTTGCTCGCATGTACTCCAGTTCAACCAGTTTAGCAGTCTCCGTGACGTAGTGGTAAGACGCTCGCCTGACGTTCCAGGAACGCTTTGTCCTGGGTTCGTATCCTGTCCAGGGATGATTTACTGGGCGCAAATCCTTAACTGTAGCCTCTGTTTAACTCAACAGTAAAATGGGTACTTGGTTGCAAAAAACAATTCTTTGCGGGGGTCGTATTCCAGGAAACATAGGATTTAGGACTTGCTCGAAACGTTATGCATACTAGTGGTTGTACACGAATGTAAGAACTCTTGTATATATCAATAAAAAAAAATCTACTGATCTTGATATTTGGGTGCAGGCAGCTTTGACCTCGCATGTATTAGGTTGCTGTAATACGCTAGGTTGGTTGCTGACCCAGCTGACCCGAGGCTGCCTCATTTTGGTTATAGGGACCCGGACTTGGGGGGTGTTTGTTGCCTCAACTTTGGTTTCATCCGCACCCCCTAATCCATTCCCTGCTGTTGTTCATCCTGTTTTCCCTCGCTTCCAGCCCCAAAATGTCTGAGGATTTTCAGAGTCGGGGCAGGGTTTAGTTGATAGTGAGACTTGGGCAGTTTCGAGGGATGCCCTATCTGGTATGGTGAAAGAGGAATTTAAGCCAGTCCCTCCAGCCGGTGCTTCAGGGTCTGACCAGCGGGCCAACTTTGTTTCAGCTTTTCTGGCGGCTTCTGCCTTTACTTTTGAGGAAGAGGGTTTGGAAGACGGCTTGGCCCCGGGGTCTGATGTGTAGGTTCCCAAGGTGGAGAGGGACTGACTTGGGGGGCTTGAACCCCATTTGACCCTGCCTGGGTTTTGATACCCTCTGAGAGGGGCTTGTTGTTGCAGGGAGTGGGGTTTTCTTACCCCCCTTCCCCCCCCCCCCGTCCACGTACGAATTTGATATCGTGTCAACCCCTCCCTGGGTTCGGTTCTGGGTTCCTTTAGGTCCTTCAGTTCCATCTTTCTAGAGGTTTTCTGCCTCCTGCATCCAACCTCATGAGGTGAGGGAGGCCATTGTGGCTTACCTCCTGTACAACCCGGAGTACGCCTCAATAATGGATCCTGCCTCTTTTGAGTTTGGTTCTTCCTTTCCTTACTGGGTAGATTACGAGGTTCCGGAGTTGTCTTGGTTGGTAGACTATCCTGTCTATTCGTTGGGAGGCGTGGCATTCATTGTGTCGGTCCCACATGCTTGACTGGCAAGAGGCCCTTACTGTAGTACAGGTTTACCTGGGAGGCGAGTTTGAATGCCTCAATGCATGTCTATTTTCATTTTACTTGACCAACTTCTTGTGTCAACAGGTTGTGTTTCCACATTTAATAAATTCAGTGTAGTCCATTTTCCTTTTGTCTGTCTCCAATTTCTCACCTCTCCTCTTTCCAGAGGATGTAATGTCCCAAGATTTGTCTGCCATGACATTCTCCTGTCAGCCTATTGGCTATTTGTTGTTTTCTCAGGGTTCTGTCCTTACTCAGAGGAAGCCTGGTAGTGTTAGGACCTCGCCTGCTGCTGACTGAGCTAGACCTTCAGGAGAGTCAGATTCCCAGGCCATTGTGCTTCTTGTTGTGAATTCATTTTCTGCTAGATGTCACAACTATGCATTGTAAAAGGGTGGTTCCTCTCACGATACATGCTGGTCCTTTCATGGTTTGCCCCTTTGATGTAGCCATAGGGACATATCTGGCTCATCTTGCCAGCTCCTGGTCCCATAATTCATGGGCAATTTGGTCCATTTCCAAGGTCTGTGGTGGAGCTGGTCGGTCTCTTCCCCTTTCTTGGGGATGGGACATGTGGGTCAGGTATCCTCTCTGGCTCTGCATCTATATATTGCTGGTTGGTTGGACTCAGGCATGATCGACTTGACCTTGTCCCTTCAGTGGGTGTCCTGGTTGTTCCCAGTCCCAAAGTGAAACTTGCCAGATCTATAACGCAGCATCGATCTTTTGGTTCTTGACCAGTGCTCACCAGCTCAGGCAGGGACGGTGGGGTCCGTCCTTCCGTCAGGCTCACAGCACGGTTCGGGAGTTCGCGGCAGTCTGGTTCGCACTTCGGAGGGTTCGGGTCGCTCGGGGTTCTACCATTCGGCTCCATTCGGACTGTTCTCCAGTGGTTCATTGCCTGAACCGCAGGGGTTCTCTTCAGTCCTTGCCTTTTTGAAGTTGGTCCTTTCGAGTTTGGCTCTCCGTGCGGTTCATATCCGGGGAGTGTCCAACTTCCTGGCAGACGGCCTGTCTCGCTTCATTCTCCTGTCCACGGAATGGACGGTCGACGACGACTCGTTTCGTTGGATCTGCCAGACGTACAGACTCCTGGACGTGGACCTCTTCGCGTCAGCATGGTCTTGGCGTCTCCCAGTCTATGTGACGCCCTTCCCCGACTGTGAGGCGTTCGCGTTGGATGCCTTTCGGCAGGACTGGTCGAAGTGGGGTTACCTGTACCTCTTTCCCGTGGTCCAGCTGTTGCTTTGGGTTCTGGCTCGGTTAGAGACCTTCCCAGGGAGAGTAGTCCTTGTGGCCCCTTGGTGGCCAGCTCAGCCTTCGTTTCCGGTGCTGTATGCTCAGTGTCCAAACTCGGGGCGTTTCCCACAGCTCCGCCTTTTTCAGCAGGTCGGACCGGTCCAGTACAGGGCTGGTTGAAACCTTCTCCTCTGCTCTACGCATCTGGTCTTTTTGATGCAGGTGTAACACCATTTCTATGGTGATCAGGTGGCTTCGTTGATGGTGTCCCACCTGCGAGCTTCATCTCGGCGACAGTATGAAGTTTCGTGGCGTTCTTTTCGCCATTTTCTTGCTCTTCGTAAGTTGTCTTCTCTTTAGGATCGGGTTGTCTTGTCCTTTCTTTCTTGGCTTTTTCAGGACTGTCATTTGATGCCTAATACTGTCGCTTCGTATTGTGCGGCGCTGGCGAAGCCGCTCCAGCTTGCATTCGGGGTGGACGTCACAGCTGCCCTGTTCCGTAAGCTTTCTCATGCTATGTTTCACTTTCGGCCTGCACATGCGCCGCCTGAGCCGTCCTGGTCCTTGGACAGGGTGCTCTCTTATCTTTCCTCTCCTCGGTTTGTGGTGGCCCCTTTGGTCCAAGATTGTTTTTGCAAAACCTTGTTTTTGTTGGCATTGGCCTCTGGGGGTTGGGAAGGGAAGCTTCATGCTCTCCTCTGGTGCAGGGGTTACTATTCTTTTGGTCCTGGGGGTAGGTTTGTACATTTGCAGCCTTCTCCACCTTTTTTGGCGAAGAATGAGAAGGCTGCTTTCCGGAGGGGGTCCTTGGGTCATTGATGCTTGGTTGGTTCGGCCGGGGGTGCATCATGTGTTGTGTCCAGTTGAGGCTCTTCGCCATTTCCTGCGCGCCTTGGCTAGGGTGGCTGGGGATGCGCTTTGGGTTGATCCAGTTTCCCTCTTTCCCTGTTCCAGGGCTCGGGTCTCCCAGGTTGTCTGCATGTCTAGCCGGCCTGCGGTCTATCCTCGAGTCCATGACGTTCGGAGGTTTGCAGCTTTGGCTGCCGTGTTTAGTAGCATGTCTTGGGCTCATATTCGGGCGTGTGGATTTTGGAGATCGAACAGGGTCCTAGATGCCCATTATTTGGTGAACGTGCCTGCTCCTGGGCGTTCTTGTGTTGCTTTGGGTCGCAGGTTGCAGCCAGTTGTCTCGACTTCGCGTTGAGGAGTTTGTGGAGGCTGCCTCCCGGGTAAGTCCCTATTTTCTTTCTCTTTAGGTATGTAGCTCCAGGGAACCATAGGGTAATCCCCACAGAAAACCAGCGTTGAATGTAGTGAAACGCCATTTTCTGGGCAAGCCCTGGAGGCTCCCTGGCAATCCTCCCTCCCACCGGTAGGCGTTTTTTCGCGCAGGTTGAAGCTTAGCTTCTGTACGGGAGTGCTAGGCAGCCGGCGCAGTGAGGTCCGGGGCCCCCCCCTCCCCCTCTCAGGGAGGGGAGTGCTGCACAAACGAGCGGCGCGGCAGTAAAGTGTGATGTTTGCTTGTTTGCTTATTTCCTTCGGATTGTAGGGAGTTTCTACCTCACTGCTCGGTTTTTTGTTTTAGTTTCTTACCATGTGGGGTTTATTTTGTTATGCCTACCTTTCTGGGTGCCTAACTCTGGTTGATGGCATATAAGGAAAAACCCCAACCACCAGGGGGGTTTTTCAGGGCCATTGCTCCCTAAAACTTCTCTGAAGGGGCCAGGTTCTGGCTCTGTTCCCTAGTAGGTCTGAACTCCATACCTAATGTCCCGGTCTAATATTAAGTACATTAGCCCGATAAGCTCCAGGGAGCATCTGGGGCTCAGCCAAAAAATGGCGTTTCATTACATTCAACTCTGGGTTTTTTGTTTCTATTGTTCTTGGGGTTGTTTTGTTTGTTTGAAGCCTGTCCTTTTCTGGCGAAGAATGAGCTAGCAGGCATCCGGAGGGGTTCCTTCCGTGGTTTGGCCGGGGATTCCTCGTGCACTTTGTCCGATGGTGTCTTTTTACGCCGCTACCTTCATGTCACCGATTCTGTTTCGGTGGACTCTTTGTGGGTTGATACAGCCTACTTCAAGTTAATATGTGTGGTGCTCCCTGGTAAGTTTCCCAAATATGTTCTTCTATGTGGGTAGTTAGCTTCAGTGAGCCAACAAGGCTCCCAACAGAAATCCGGTGTAAAATGTAATGAAATGCCAGTTTTTGGGTGAGCTCCAGAGGCTTCCTGACACCCACCATCCACCAGGTGTGTCGGCGATGTGTTTCTCATTAAAGAACTGAAGACAGTCGGCCCAGACTTCCCGAGCCAGCTCCCCCCTTCCCCAATGAGGGGGATATTGGAGTTAACTAGCAGGGGGGCCAGTTTCACTAAGTTTTGGTTGTTTCTTCTTACCTTGTGGGAGTTCCTTTGACATTTTTAAACCAGGCAATGGTTTATTTTGATTCCCCTATCTTTCTGGATGTCTTCCCAAGTGATAGTAAAGATGATATCCTTTAAATGTAAAGTGATCATAGGCCACCGCTCCCTGCACCTCTCTGAGGGGCCAGGTTTTGGCTCATGATTCCCGGTAGGCAAAAAGAACTCCGCAATTGATGACACTTGGTAGTATGGCACTCAATCAGTGATGATAGCTTCAGAGAGCCTCCGGGGCTCACCCAGAAACTGGCATTTCATTACATTCAACCCTGGTTTTATGGCTAGTGAAATATTTAAAAAGGTTGTAACAAAAGCAATCTTAAAATATCAACAATAAAGTTACTAAAGCTTACCACACAGTCCTTCTGTTTTGTTGAAGTAAATATTTGATGGTAAACGAATGGAGAATCCATAATTTTCAAAGAAGAAAGTCACTTCTAAATGTATATCAGGAATGGCAGCCATAATCTGAGTTTGACAAAAATTTGCAATAAATACTGAGCAATAAACACAAATATGCATCACAGATGCAAATACTGTATCTAAACTTATTAAAACTAAATTAAACACTAATTTAGCTAATGCAGAACCAATATAAAAACAATAAGACTTAAGAAAAGTATGTTCATAAATAGTACAAGGAATGTACAGTAAAGTTTCCAATGCAATTAATAGCTTTATTTAAAAAGTTATTGAGCATCAGGAAGAATGTCTCTCTAATAACAGTTTAAGATTCATGTCTCAGACAAAAGAGGATTGCAATAAAGATTTATCTAGTGTAAATTATATGTGGACTAGAAGAGGACATGTGGGGGCCTCGTAGCCTGGTGGATAGCGCGCAGGACTCGTAATTCTGTGGCGCGGGTTCGATTCCCGCACGAGGCAGAAACAAATGGGCAAAGTTTCTTTCACCCTGAATGCCCCTGTTACCTAGCAGTAAATAGGTACCTGGGTGTTAGTCAGCTGTCACGGGCTGCTTCCTGGGGGTGGAGGCCTGGTCAAGGACCGGGCCGCGGGGACACTAAAGCCCCCGAAATCATCTCAAGATAACCTCAAGATGTGTGGACTAGATGAGGTGATATGTGGACTAGATGAGGTTATGTGTGGACTAGATGAGGTTATATATGGACTAGATGAGGTTATATGTGGACTAGATGAGGTTATATGTGGACTAGATGAGGTTATATGTGGACTAGATGAGGTTATGTGTGGACTAGATGAGGTGATATGTGGACTAGATGAGGTGATATGTGGACGAGATGAGGTTATGTGTGGACTAGATGAGGTTATGTGTGGACTAGATGAGGTTATATGTGGACTAGATGAGGTTATATGTGGACTAGATGAGGTTATGTGTGGACTAGATGAGGTTATGTGTGGACTAGATGAGGTTATGTGTGGACTAGATGAGGTTATGTGTGGACTAGATGAGGTTATGTGTGGACTAGATGAGGTTATGTGTGGACTAGATGAGGTTATGTGTGGACTAGATGAGGTTATATGTGGACTAGATGAGGTTATGTGTGGACTAGATGAGGTTATATGTGGACTAGATGAGGTTATATGTGGACTAGATGAGGTTATATGTGGACTAGATGAGGTTATATGTGGACTAGATGAGGTTATGTGTGGACTAGATGAGGTGATATGTGGACTAGATGAGGTGATATGTGGACGAGATGAGGTTATGTGTGCACTAGATGAGGTGATATGGGCAAATTTTTGGCAAGTGACACGACTATATTAACATAATTCAAAGACAAAAATTGGTTAACACACCTGTGAGGAATCTGGTTGTTCAACTGCCAGCCAAGGCTCACGATGTGGGAAGCTGGTCACTTCATCTTCATCAATAATGACTTTGACTCCGTCTTCATCAGTGGCAGAGATAAAGACCGTGTGCGAATTGAAGAGGATAGTTATGGCATCAGTACACACAGTGACTGGCTCTTGGGTACACCTCTTGTTACGGGTGATCACCTGAATCACAAATGATTTATGATTATATTTTATGCATAAAGTGCCAATGAGAGTTCTAAATGCTAATGTTTAAACTATGATGAAAGTAGTGATGAATGATAGGTATAGGTAAGACAGCTTGTACAGTTATATAAAGCATTTTATGAATATTCTAATAATAATAAGACTTAATAAAATTTTGATGTTTTGACCCCAGGAATAAAATTCATGGAAAAATAAAAAATTAATACTGTTGATTGCACACCTGGAATTTATGTTGACCTCGAGCATTTGTATCACGTGCAGCAATGTAAGAACACTCTCCGTTGAAGGTGTAATTATGTCGATCAAAGGTCATGTAGTGTGGGTCACCATAACCTTCGCAGACACAGTCTCGACATTGTTCAGGAATAACACAACGATTTCCCTTGCGTACCAAACCAGGGCTACAGAAGCACCCAGGGATGCAAGATCCATCCACCTCTGGACAGAGACTTTCATCGTGCTTATTATCGCAACTCTTCTCACATTTGGAGCGGAAACAATCTTGATAAATTTCACCCGGACCACATTCCTCATCTGTAGATTACAAAATACACTTTAAAATATAAGAGAAAATTACCCGTGAAGATTGAGTTCTAGATAAAAACATTGCATGCATTATAAATGTATCTCCACCACTGGAAATATATTAACATGGTAAGAAACACATTTGAAATTTCACTTAAAAACCCAGCAATGAATGTAATGAAAAGCCCCTTTCTGGATGAGCCCCATTGGCCTTTTCAAACTTTATTGCTGATTTTTTTTTTTTTAGATATATACAAGTTGTTACATTCTTGTACAGCCACTAGTACGCGTAGCGTTTCGGGCAGGTCCCTGGAATACGACCCTTACAAAGAATCGTTGTTACAACCAGTACCCATTTTACTGTTGAGTTAAACAGAGGCTACAGTTAAGGATTTGCGCCCAGTAAATCCTCCCCGGCCAGGATACGAACCCATGACAAAGCGCTCGCGGAGCGCCAGGTGAGTGTCTCACCACTACACCACGGAGACTGTCAATTGGTTTCCATTATTCAAGTCACAGGCATGAGTTATTCATGAGTCACAGGCATCCTGTTGACCTACTGGGGAATAAAGCCAGAACCTGGCATACTTTCAGGTGCACAGAGAGTAGAAGATTGTATTGATCTTCATCACAGGGAAAGCAATAAGAAAGTAGAAAAGATAATACAGACAACTGCATATTTCATGAAAACAAAACACCGAAACAGCCAACATACACCACAAAAAGTTCACTCAAAATGAAATAGTTCACTCAAAACTGGGTAGAATACATCCTCCAGTGCACAGATCTGATGTATCTGAAGGGGGATGAAGGAGTGAGGGAGCCACCAGAGTTTCCATTACATTTAATACTGGTTTTCTTGGAGGAAGCCCTTTGGTGGGTTCCAGATAAAAGCTAATCATAAAGAAGAAGGAAGACATGGGACTTACCAAGCAGAAGGAGAGGTGGCAACTATAAAATCTCATGCAGACGATGAGTCACAATAGCATGGCTGAAATATGTTGACTAGACCACACACTAGAAAGTAAAGGGACGACGACGTTTCGGTTCGTCCTGGACCATTCTCACAATCGACTGGAGAATGGTCCAGGACGGACCGAAACATCGTCGTCCCTTCATGTGAGAAATCTTTAAAGAATTCTGATAAAGAAAGAGATCTAGGGGTGGTTCTAGATAGAAAACTATCACCTGAGAACCACATAAAGAATATTGTGTGAGGAGCCTATGCCACGCTTTCTAACTTCAGAATTGCTTTTAAATACATGGATGGCGATATACTAAAGAAATTGTTCACAACTTTTGTTAGGCCAAAGCTAGAATATGCAGTGGTTGTGTGGTGCCCATATCTTAAGAAGCACATCATTAAACTGGAAAAGGTGCAAAGACGTGCTACTAAGTGGCTCCCAGAACTGAAGGGCAAGAGCTACGAGGAGAGGTTAGAGGCCTTAAATATGCCAAAACTAGAAGACAGAAGAAAAAGAGGTGATATGATCACTACATACAAAATAGTAACAGGAATTGATAAAATCGATAGGGAAGATTTCCTGCGACCTGGAACTTTAAGACCAAGAGGTCATAGATTTAAACTAGCTAAACACAGATGCCGAAGAAATATAAGAAAATTCACTTTCGCAAACAGAGTGGTAGACGGTTGGAACAAGTTAGGTGAGAAGGTGGTGGAGGCCAAGACCGTCAGTAGTTTCAAAGCGTTATATGACAGAGTGCTGGGAAGACGGGACACCACGAGCGTAGCTCTCATCCTGTAACTACACTTGGGTAATTACTTTCTAGTGTGTGGTCTGGTCATCAATATAAAATCTTACATGAGATTCTGGGCTGGGTAGGATAACACAAGTCTGACTGGGACCAGGAATATCAACCCGATACCAAGCCACCAAGACCCTGTGAGGTGTCCAAAAACAATGATTCAGAATATCAGCCCATAACATAATAGCATAGACAGCGACCATAATTGCGAACTTACGAACAACATAAATCCAAGGAACTGCAGGCTGGCTAGTTTTAATGTCATCATGGATGAAGAGACAAAAATGCCATAGAAAGGGGTCCAAGGAAACTGGATCGACATACAGTGCATCCACCAAAACAGAACAGACAGTGTGCCAGTAGCAACAAACTATCACAACAAGACAAAAGATGGTACACCCCAAGCTGGACAAACCAAGCATCAAACACCAAGGGACCCCTCAGGAAGTCAACCGTCTCCATCTCTGCCTGAGAAGGAAAAGGCTGTAGACAAAGAAAGCACCCACTCGAGCTGAAAGAACAAAACCCATGCATTTGAAAGAGAGCATGAGGCTCCACCCAATCTAGCAACAAGAAGCAAGAACCAACCAAAACAATTCCTTAAGAAAAATATCCTGGACTGATGAGGAAACCAGGAACTGAAGGGAAGAAATACCAACAATTGAATGAGAGACCAAGGCAGCTGAGAGGAAGCATGGGCCAACCGGAATGAAAGACAACTCGAGATAACTCATGAAATAGCGCCAAATGGCTAAAAGAGAGAATAAAACACTATAGGAGCACCAGGACACTTCATACTGTCATCATGATGAAGACGCAGGTGGGACATCAACAAATCAGCCACCTGTACACCCTACAAATCGCGATAAACTTGTGACAGAACCTACAGAAGAGAACGGCAGAGAAGGACAAACCAGCACCGTACATCATCAGTGCAAGCTGCTGAAAAACCAGCGTTGTATGTAATGAAACGCCATTTTCTGGGTGAGCCCCGGAGGTTCCCTGGAGCTTATCGAGCTAATGTATGTTATATTAGACCGAGACATTAGCTAAGGAGTTCAGACCTACCAGGGACCAGCGCCAGAACCTGTCCCCTTCAGAGAGGTTTCAGGGAGCAATGGCCCTGGAAAAACCCCTTGTGGCTGGGGTTTTCCTTATCTGCCATCGACCGGGGTTAGGCACCCAGAAAGGTAGGCATAACAAAACAAACCCCACATGGTAATAATTGCTACGTAAAAACCGAACAAGGAGGCAGAACTCCCAAACTAAGACAAGCAAATAAACAAATGTCACTAACGCCATTACGCCGATCATCTGTGCAACCCCTGCAAGGGAAGGGGGTGCCCAGACTCCCTGCGCTGGCTACACTTGATATCAGTTCTGAGGTTGAGCATCAATAACAACCCGATAAACTACCAACTGGAACGGGGGGAGCGTGCCGGGAAACCTCCAGGGCTCACCAGAAAATGGCGTTTCATTACATTCAAAGGTGGTTTTCTAAGGGGATTCCCTGTGGTTTCACGGAGCTACCTAATCAAAATAAAGTAAAAAGAGGGACTTACCCAGGAGGTGGCTGCCACTCGCATCTTAAAGTCGAGACAACTGGATGCAACCTACAACTCAAAGCGATACATGCCCGACTAGTCCCAGCAACATCGACCAAGTAATGGGCAGCCATGACCCTGTTCGACATCCAAAATTCCCATGCCCGAATGTCAGCCCAAGACATGTTACCAAAGACGACAGCCAAAGCAGCAAACTTTTGAACATTATGGGCACGAGGATAGACCGCAGGCTGGCTGGACCAAATAACCCTGCGGACGACCTGGGAGACCCGAGCCCCAGGCAGGGAAGGAGGGAAACCAGATCAACCCAAAGCGCATACCCGGCCACAGAGGTCGTGGCGCGCAGGTAACGGCGAAGAACAGCAACCGGACACAACATATGATGCACCCCCGATCTGACTAACCAAGCATCAACAATCCAAGAACCCCTCTGGAAAGCCACCGACTCATTCTTTGCCAGAAACGGAGATGGCTGAAAATGAACAAACCTACTGCCAGAACAGAAAAAGCAGAAATCTCTGCGCCGGAGGAGAGCATGAAGCTCCAGGACCCGACCCCCAGAAGCCAATGCCAACAGGAAAAAAAAGAGCCTTGGAAAAAATCGTGTACTGAAGGGGCCACCACAAACCAAGGAGAAGATCGATAGGAGAGCACCCTGTCCATGGACCAGGACAGCTCAGGTGGTGCATGAGCAGGCCAGAGGTGAAACAAAGCATGAGAAAGCTTACGGAACAGGGCAGAAGAGACATCTACCTCGAACACAAGCTGAAGCGGCTCCACCAGCGCCGCACGATACTAGGCATCAAATGATAGTCCTGAAAAAGCGAAGAAAGAAAGGACAACACAACCCGAACTGAAATAGAGAACAACCTACTAAGAGAGAGAAAATGGTGGAAAGAGCACCAAGCATACCCACTCTGAGATGATCTGATGGAGCGCAGGCTTGCTCCCCAGCCCCAAACCTCCTGGAGGAAGAGCCACCCAATATCACCACAGGCCAGAAGAGACGACCAGTAATACCCACGAATCTTGGATCCAGGTGTGAGCAAACAGCGCGAGCCTCCCCCTCATCGCCCTGTCAACGGCGGCGACCCGCAAAAGGGCCAACGCCCCTTGTGAGAAACTGGTTGACAAACAGGGTGACCACTGCACCGACCAGACGCCACCAGCTCCGAAGGAAGCGCTGGCTCTGAAACTGGCATCACTGGCCTACCACGACCAAAGGAACCCCAAACCCTGGCACGACCCTTCCGGGAAGGCATACCATGGCCCCCCTGGAGAACCAACAAGTCCGACATGGGACGACAGCTAGACGAAGCTGCTTGTAGAAACTGCGTGACAGCAGACTTCGCAAACAGCAACATACAAAAGGGCAATGAAAACCTAAGAACCAGAGCCAAAGCGGATTACAAGGAGAGAGCAAGCACAGCCTGTTGGCACACGAGGCAAGAAGCAAAAACACAGACACTGCCTCCTTGAGAATCGGCGCATACAACTTCAACAAAGCAGCCACTGCCCTATCTGCGAAGGCATGCACACTGGACGAAGACCCAGCACCCAGTGCCTCTACATCTTCCTCAAGCCAGTCCAAGGACAGCTCGAGAAGGGAAAAGAAATGCAACACCGAGGCCAAATGCCACCGGGCACGCAAATCCTCAACTACTAAGGCAGCTGAAAGGGTGATCCGGGTGAGCAACCAACCTAGCGTGCTGCAGTAACCGATATCTAGCATACAACGCCGAAGCCGCCTGTACTCGAATATCACTATCAGTAGAATGGGTAAACTGGAGTAAGAAAAAGGAACAGGACTTGCAAGACTCCGGGTCAAAGGTGTCATTGACCCAGCAGGCAGCATGATGGAGGCAAAACTGGTGAGTGTCACCCTAAGACAAGGGGACAGAGCAACCGTCAAACTTGCACTCTGCGAGATGGGACCCAGAGGATGCATCCATAGGTCCAGACCTATGGATGAAGGTAAACCTCCCTGTGTGCATGACATGAAACATGAAGCTTTGGCACACTAATACTCATGGCTCATGCACACTTTTATGTAAAACACTGCCATAAAGTCAAGAGAACACCAAAGAAAACAGGAAACCGAAGCCAGAGCAACGCGACTGTCAGGTAAGCACATCAATAAGAACTAAGCTGGTCGGACAGGGCTATCCAGGCCATCAATCTCCCCTCCAATGAGGGGGAGGTGGAGGCAACTAGCAGGGGGCTAGTTTCACTAAGTCTGGTTGTTTCTTTTATTATTGGAAGAGTTCTTTTGACATTTTAAGGGGGGCTTTGGTCATGTTTTTAAACAGGCAGTGGTTTGTTTTGATTTGCCTATCTTTCTGGATGCCTTTCCTGGTGATGGCAAAGATGATATCATTTAAACGCAAAGTGATCATAGGCCATTGCTCTTTGTGGCTCTCTGATGGGGTGCCAGATTCTGGCTTGTGGTTCTCAGTAGGCAAAAAGAACTCTACAACTGATGACACTTGGTAGTATGGGATTTAATAAGTGATGATAGCTTCAGGGAGCCAACGGGGCTCCCCACAGAAGAGAGAGAATATAAAATAGCAATAAAAATGGTGTAACAACTTACAGCACTTAGCTATAATGCGCCAATCTGAGACAGGAGCTTCAGGATACTTCTCAAGGCACTGGGTGATGTAACGTGTAAGAGCCTGGCATCGGCACTCTTCATCAGTGCCTCCATTTAAACACTCACAAACAGAATCTACACATTTCTTCATAAATGGTGTTGCATCAACAGTGCTGTGGCATTCAGTAAATGGTCTGGCTCTGTAAGAATAAGTAGTAAAATGTAGTTAATTTGGCACAGAAACTTAACACAGAATAAAGAAAGTTGGTTAGGAAGCTTTGTAATTTGTCATTATGGCCGACACATTGTGAAGCTAGGAATCAGTTTTCTACATTCAATAATTTCACTGCAATCTGGCAGATGGAATATGTTTTTACCCTCTATAATTGGGAAAATCTCAAATGATTCAATGCCAATAATATAAAGTATCTAAATATAAGACTAAAAATATATAATTACTTATGCAACTCTTTTACATAAACTTTTTCCACAAAATAGATAGTACAATACTCTCATCCAACAGAAATTCAGATGCAATGGTAGAATTCTGATTTTGTTTCAACGGGGCCTGACAGCTGAGTGGACAGCGCTCGGGTTTCATAGTCCTGAGGTTCCGATTTTGATCCTTGGTGGAGGCGGAAACAAATGGGCAGAGTTTCTTTCACCCTGATGCACCTATTCATCTAGCAGTAAATAGGTACCAGGGAGTTAGACAGCTGCTACGGGTTGCTTCCTGGAGGTGTGTAACAAAAAGGAGGCCTGGTCGAGGACCTGGCAGTGGGGACACTTAGACCCGAAATCATCTCAAGATAACCTCAAGATGGGATGCAATGGAAATAGCATCTGGACAATCAAAAAATTTCTAACAGTCCAAACTTAAAACATAAAATAATATTTAATTTATATTAAAATGTGTACTTTTACCCTGGGATTTTGGTATCAAAATAGTGATTTACCATTTAAAGAAATAGCAACATTTATTATGAAAGCAATGCCAATTTTAATGAAATTGAATGAAAGCAATGTCAATATTTGGTTGAGCCCCAGTGGCACCCTGAAGCTAGTATCACTAAGCTCCATAAAACCACATAGTGTTACTGCAAAGAAAACTGCAGGTAGGACACTTTCAAAGAAGCCACCTGATTGCCATAGTGATGGCAATAAATATGCATCAGAAATACCAGACGTGAAGAGCAGAGGAAAAGGTCGAACCAGAGAAATACACCACTGGGCTGGCCCTCTGGATGAGGTGGAGCAGTGGAAAAACACCCAGATTCAGACACCGAGCAAGCAGTGACTGAAACTCCCCTCCCCCATGTAGGATTACAACCTGTTTAGTAGTCCAGGCTACTACTCCCAGCTCCTGGTTAGCAGACATGTGAACCAGCTGGGAGCCCACACCTGTCCATCATTAAATAAGCCCAAACTAAAACCCCAACATCAAAGAAAAGTCATGATGACCTGAGCCAAGCGTATGAACACGTGTGATGCCAGATAAAACCCAAATGGGGGAAATTGAAAGTGAGAAGCCAGTAACAGGACATGCCCAGAAGCACCCCCGAGGTCTAGGGAGGCCATCTGACTGACTGTCCCAAGAATGATATGGACCCGGAACAGAAAAGTCACCTGAACACGGGGGGGGGGGGGGGCAAGGAATGAAATGATTCAGCCATGAAAAGCCATGTAGGAACCTGAGGCCTGGAAAGCCCTGCTATGGGACCTATGGGACCAGGAAAAAACCAGAAGTGATACAGCAGAGCCTACCATGCAGAAGCTATCAGTTCAAAATAACCCAACAAAGACAAGGAGATGAGACCTGCTAGGAAAAGACCAGACACCCAGAAACGAGAGGGACCAACCAACTTTACTGCAGGATACAGGAAATGACCCGCTAAGCCCACAGGTAAATTTGCAGGACCAAGAGTCAGCAAATGGGGCAAGCCGCCGCCTTCCCCTGTCCATTGTCCCAACAAGGGTTGAACTGCAAAGGTTGGCACGACCAATAATAGCCAAAACCAACTGAGCAGGGCAAACATGACACCGACCCGCCAGAGACAATCCCATGAGGAAAGCGCTTACAACCTGGGCTATGATCTGGCTCCACAGAGAGCCTACCTCAACCAACAGAAGGCAAAGCCTCAACCCTACCCAGCTGCCTCCAGTAACAAAAACAAAAACTTCAGGAACACAAATGGTCAGAAGGATGCCAAGAAGTGGAAAAATGAGGAAGGAGGACAGTAGAGCCAAGACTCATGCCAAAACTAAAAATCAGGCCAACACAGCTTGTTGACACACGAGTCAGGCAGCAAAGACCTTGGCCACCACATCCTGAAGCACGTGAATGATCAGCTTGAATGACCAAAACAGACATCAAGACCCCCCTTTCCATGCAGTTCCCACCAATGCTCAATGATATCCTGGAGCCAGTCTGAAGGAAGCCCCAGGAGACCCAAGAGCGCACAACAGAATCCAGTGCAAGTGAGCCTGAAGGAAAGTTGCTAAAAGAGTTGCCGATAAGAGGGAAGCTGAGGTATGGAGCAGCATGAGACCCATAACTTGAAGAGAGGAAGCAAACAGTCAGACAAGGAGGGGCATGAAAGTAGAGCCCACAGAACCCCCAAAAATTGTCAACACCCCATGACATGCAAGGGTGAAGAACTGACCAAGGCTGCACCAAGCACCAAGTAAAGACATGGGCATGTCTGTCAGCCAGGAAGTCACAGGAACTTTATAATGCACCCAGTAGGAAGAAGACGACCCAAATGAAAAAGAAGCATGGTTTAACAATGAGGCATAAACCAAGTCATGTAGGAGGCATATAAAAAGTGTCTCATGAACTGCCAAAAGAGAGGCCTGAGAGGCTGAAACCTCTAGAAGGATGATCCTGGTAGACCCAAAGGCAAGTAGAAATGAACCCAGGGGAAAGCAATATCCAAACATAAGTACACACTGATGGGAGATATGAAAATCCTCCCTGCAAAAGAAGATCCCCTCAGAAGGAACAAGGAACCATGTAGAGTCAAATAAGACCCAGGGGTCCACATTCAATTGTCTCCAAGCCCCAGAAGCCACAGGCCAGGGCTCTGGGGTGGAGCCAGTGTCCATACTCATCACCTAGGATAAAAAAGTGGAGTCCAAGGTAAAGGCTTCGAAGGAAGGAGGGGCTGGCTGACAAATGGAAGACCTAGAAGCCTTGGCAAGACGAGCAGGTTCAACTACCTTCATGCTTGCATTGGAAAGAGCAACCCCTGGAGCTACCCGAGACACATCCCAAGCTAAACCCTGCCCCAACCCAGAAACCCCTCAGTTGCCACTGGTCCGGAAATGGGAGGGGGGGGGGGAAGCGACTAGAACAGGGGCAATCCCTGCCCAAATGGAAAGGTAGAGGAGGTGCAAATGGAACCAAGGTAGAAGTTACCAAACTCCTCCAATTCTGGGTCCCTAACCACCAATGGGGCAGCTCTAGGGTATCTGGCCAGGATCACAACCCAGAACACTGCAACCTAGAAAACCAAAGACAAAGCAGATTCTGCTTGATAAGCCCAAACCCCATCAGGTGGGTCACAAAGAAGAACCTAAATGGGAAAAGCAAACCCCCACAGGACTCAGGGTATAAGGTGTTACTGACCCAACATGCTACACGTCAGGTACAGATGGACCAAATGCCATCACATGGAAAGAATGACGAGCAACCTTCAAGTTCACTCAAGCAAGAGCTGGTACAGTGGGGATATCCAGAAGACCACTCAACCCTCAGGAGATTTCCAGGGCCAAAAGGAATTGACCAAACAGAACACCCAGGCACTGAGATGCTATGCTGGACCATTAATTGAAGGGTGTTGTATGAATCTATATAGGATACATAAGACATACATATAGAGATGATATAGTAAGCCAACACAGCCCTGGCCACAAGGTCATGAAGGCCGACTTCGACATGCAAAAGTGTAGCACATGAATACCCATTGCACCCCTTGCCAGCCAATGTCATTCCTGACCTGAGTAAAGACAGAAACCTCCCTTGACACCCGACTTGTCCCATGTGAGGGCCACCTTAATTGGGGAGGACATCGAAGGGTGGTAACTCCCGAACACTCCATGGGGAAAAACCCTGGCAGCGCAAGGGTAGCACTAGGGAGCCTACGAGGAGGAGAACCCTGTGCACATGCACCTCCAAGCACCCAATGCCTGGCTTATGCCATACCATAGTGTACAGGACCTGCCCCAAAGGTAAAAGCCACCACTTAGCTGAAAAGCAGAACACTGGAGCAAAAGAATCAGGGAAGTGACCCAGTGCAGACTATGCATCAGCACAGATTGAGGTTCCAACTAACTGAGAGCTGCTTCCCCCCTCCCCTTCTTCTCATCCCCTCCCCTTAAATGACTGGGGCAGGTGGCCTGAATGAGCTTCAAGAAATTGTGACCATTTGTATACATTGTTGGGTGTATTCTTTCACCAGTTCTCAAGGCTGCAGTCTCATTTGAAGCCAGCAGTGGTCTGTTTTGTCTTGTTGACATTCTGGGTGCCTTTCCCAGTGGTGGAGTAAATAAATGTATAATGTCACTGCTCCCTGTGCCTCTGTTGAGTGCGGAGGGGGGCAGCAGGTTCTGGTTCTAGTCCCCGGTAGGCTATAGGACTCCACAGAAATGCGTGGCGTAGCCATCTAGTAGTGGATCAGTGCTAGAAGCTTCAGGGAGCCACAAAGGGCATCCTCCAGAAAATAACAATGATGTGATGTAATGGAAGACCAGATGGGGTCTGGAATCAATATTTGTGTTTAAGTGGAAATCCACTATATTGATCACACAGCTAACTTAATAGTAAAATTAATCATTATAATTCATTGTGATAGGGGACAGGCAGCCAGTTTATATATATACAGTACATGTAAGGCTTATATCCAGGTTCCCCCCTTCCTCCAGGGTGGAATTACTAACCCTCCCAGGATACAACCTCCAGGGTGGAATTACTGCCCCTCCCCAGGATACAACCTCCAGGGTTGAATTACTGCCCCTCCCCAGGATACAACCTCCAGGGTTGAATTACTGCCCCTCCCCAGGATACAACCTCCAGGGTTGAATTACTGCCCCTCCCCAGGATACAACCTCCAGGGTTGAATTACTGCCCCTCCCCAGGATACAACCTCCAGGGTGGAATTACTGCCCCTCCCCAGGATACAACCTCCAGGGTTGAATTACTGCCCCTCCCCAGGATACAACCTCCAGGGTTGAATTACTGACCCTCCCCAGGATACAACCTCCAGGGTTGAATTACTGCCCCTCCCCAGGATACAACCTCCAGGGTGGAATTACTGACCCTCCCCAGGATACAACCTCCAGGGTGGAATTACTGACCCTCCCCAGGATACAACCTCCAGGGTGGAATTACTGACCCTCCCCAGGATACAACCCCATAACAAGTTGACTAACTCCTGGGTACCTATTTACTACTAGGTGAACAAGCGCATTATGTGATAGAAAATACGCCCAACCATTTCTGTCCCTCCAAGAATTGAAACTCGGAATTCTCGACTATGAGTCAAGAACGAACCCATCTGTATTTCAGGCACTCTTTATAAGTAAATAGAATAAAGTACAAAAAAGTACAAAGTATAAGTAAAGTATAAAGCAAGGTGAACAGTTCTTTAGATACAAATGAAGATAAGAAATAATACATAAGATAATAAATCTAGTGATAACCACTATACATGTACTGTAAACATATACTTACTGAATAGTATTGCATAGTTCAAATGCTTTGACTGTGATTTCTGATGTACACTTGGGTTTTTCTTCACATTCTTCATTGGCTAAATTCCATGACTGACCATATTCTTTGATGGAAGTTGCAAGTTTACCATCAGGTTTAGTTTTATCATCATTTGAATCTCCTGTGTAGAAGCCACACAAACCATCTACCTTATTAACTAGATGATCTCCAAGCTGTGGAATAAGTTAGGATTAAGAAAAGAATATCAATGCAAAAATTAAAAGTATATTTAAGGGTTTAAAACTGAGTATTTTACTAATAGTTTCCATGATGGAAATGTGGAGGGCATGAGATCTGTATACTTATGCAGGTATATGCATGTATGTATATATATTATGTATGTAACTACTTAAGTGTAGTTACAAGATGCCAGCTACATTTGTGGTGGCTCATTTTTCCAGTACTCTGTCATATGGTGTTTTGAAACTACTGATGGCTATCGCATTCACCGCCTTCTCGTGTAACTTTTTTAAATTGTCTACCACGCTGTTTACAAAAGATAACTCTTTAATGATTTTGGCACCTTAGTTTCTTTAGTGTGAATCTATGATCTCTTGTTCTTGAAGTTGCAGGTTTCATGAATTCCCTTTTGTCAATTTTGTTGATTCCTCTTACTATTTTGTAAATAGTGATTATATTGCCTCCATTTCTTCTATCTTCTAGCTTTGTCAACTCTGGTGATGTGTCTTGGGTACAGTACAGTTACTGTACATTGTGGGAACAGTGTACAGAATTCCTAACACAGATATTGCTGAATTCAACTCTTAACTTTAGAAATCTAATAATAATGAACAAACTTAACAAAAACCAACTAATACTTTCAGGTGATTTTAATATTGACCTCTGACGGCCTCATAACCCTCAAGTTGCTAGTTTTCTCAACTGTATGAATTCCGCAAAACAAACCTCACATGGTAAAAAACTAAAACAAAAAACGAACAGAGAGGTAGAAACTCCCTACAATCCAAAGGAAACAAGCAAAACATCACACTTTACTGCCGCGCCGATCATCTGTGCAGCCCTCCCCGCCCGAAGAGGAGGAGGGGTAAACTCGGACCTCACCACGCCGACTGCCTAGCATCAGTTTGGAAGCTAAGCTTCAACCAACGTGAAAAAACCGCCAAACAGGTGGGAGGGATGGTTGCCAGGGAGCCTCCAGGGCTCACCCAGAAAATGGCGTTTCACTACATTCAACGCTGGTTTTCTGTGGGGGAGCCCCTCCGGCTCCCTGGAGCTTCATACTCAAAGAGAAGGAAAAGAAAGGGCTGACACAGGAGGCCGCCACCACAAACTCCGCAATGCGAAGCCGAGACAACAGGCTGCAACCTGCAACCCAAGGCAACAAGAACGCACAGGAGCAGACACGAGCATAAGGAACGGGCGGCCAGGAACCTGTGTGACCCTCAAATCCTTGCGCCCGAAATGAGCCCTAGACGTCACCAACAGAGCAGCGAAAGCTGCAAACGTCCGAGCAGCATGGGCGCAAGGACAGACTGCTGGCTGGAAGACTTAAAAACTCTGCGGACAACCTGGGAGACCCGAGCGATGAAACAGGAAATGAGGGGAACTGGATCAACCCAAAGCGCATCCCCAGACACAGTACGCAGGTAATGGCAAAAAAGCTCAACCAGGCAACACAGGACGCACCTCCGGCCGAACCAAACAAGCATCACTAACCCAAGGACCCCTCCGGAAAGCAGCTGTCTTGACCGTCGCCAGAAGGACAGAGAAAGACTGCAAACGTACAAACCTACCACCAGTACCAAAGAGCAGAAACCTGAACTGAAGGGGCTACCACAAACTGAGAAGAAGATAAGAGGGCACCCTGATCAAGGACCAGGATAGCTCAGGCGACGCATGAGCAGGCCGGAGGTGAAACAAAACACGAGAAAGCGTCCAAAATGGGGCAGATGTGATGTCCACCCCGAACGCAAGCCGAAGCGACTCTGCCAGCGCAGCACAAAACGAGGCGACACTAAGAAACATCAAATAACTGTAGTCCTGAAAAACCAAGAAAGAACACAACAACTCGATGTGAAAGAGAAGACGACCTACGAAGAGCAAGAAAAAGGTGCATAGAAACACCAGGAACATCATACTGTTGCCGAGACGAAGCTTGCAGGTGGGACACCATCAACAAAACCACCTGATCACCACAGATGGTGATACCCGTGTCAAAATACCAGACACGAAGAGCTGAGAAGGCCGAACCAATCACGTACAGAACCGGTCCGACCTGCCAAAAGAGGCTGAGCCGCGGGAAAACCCCCGGGGTTCGGACACCTATCAAGCAGCGTCCGAAAATAACGCTGGGTCGGCCACCAAGGGACCATGAGGACTACTCTCTTGGGAATGGGCTCCAACCGAGCCAGAACCCAAAGCAACAGCTGAACCAGGAGAAGAGGAACAGGTACCCCCCACCTCAACCAGTCCTGCCGAAAGGCATCCACTGTGAACGCCTCGCAGGCGGATAAGGGCGCCACATACGATGGGCGAAGCCTAGACCACGCCGACTCGAAGACGTCCATGGCCAGGAGTCCATACGTCCGGCAGAGCCAATGAAATGAGTCGGCAACGACTGGCCAATCCGCGAACAGAGGAATGAACCGAGACAGGCTGACCGCCAGGACGTAGAACACACCCCAGACATGAATCTTATGGTTAGCCAAACCCCGAGAATCCAGCAAATGAGCCACTCTAAGGGATCAACCCCAAAGGTCAAACACCTAAGAGAAACTCTGTGGTTCCGGCAAAGAACCGCAAGAGAACAGTCCGAATGGAGCCGAATGTTAGAGCACCGAGTGACCCTAACCCTCCGAAGCGCAAACCAGACAGCCACGAACTCCCAAACCGTGCTGTGGGCCCGACGGACGGACAGACCCCCACCATTACCGGCTGACCTGGTGAGCACTGGTCACAAAGCCCCAGCCGAGAGATGACCCGTCCGTGAACACATCGAGCGAAGGCTCGGGGAGGTGCCAAGGCACGGAATCCCGAAAACCCCAAAGAGGAAGCTGGTGACGCAGCACCAACACAAGATCCCCGGAGGAACGAACACAACGATTGCAAGAGAGGCGGAAGAGAAGTCTCTGAAGGAACTAAACAGACACCGAAGCCAAACCCGACCCTGCGGGCAGACCAGCACGTTGAAGTTCAGACTCCCGCCTAACTGCTCGAGCAACCGCCGAGCAACCCGGGACCCCTCATGAACAGCTGAAGGTGGGACCACAGCCGCAGCAACACTTCTGGAGGGAAGGACAAGGAGCGGCCCAAGAGCCCTAAACAAGACCCAGCCAGGCCCGAACCCGGGACGGAAACAGATGGAATGGCCTCCAGATCACCAGAAAACCAAACCTGGCGATCTGGAAAGAACCACACCCCAGGCGAGCAGACAAGCGGACCGACTGGGAACCCACACCAGCCAGTCGTCGAGGTAGGCCAGACACCAAATCCCAAGCAGACTCAGACAGGGCACCAAGATCCGGTAAAGATGGAGAAATACATGGGCAAATGCGGGGGGGTCTGGGGCTTCCCCTTCCCCTTCCCGGGGAGGACATTTTCATTTGGTGAGTTCTATCCTCTAGTTCAGCTTTCAGTAGCAATTTCTTAACCAGAATAGGGGTTTGTTTTGGGGCGCTTACCTTTCTGGGTGCCTGACCCAGTCGATGTCAGACATAGAATGCTTCTAACCACAAGGGGGGGGGGGGGTTCTATAGGCCATTGCTCCTCGTACCTCTCTGAGGGAGTCAGGTTCTGGCTCGTGGTCCCCAGTAGACCTAGAACTCCATTCGCTTGACTGATGCCAGGGTCTAATACATTCATATCAGCCTGGTTAGCTCAGAGGAGCAGAAGGGGCTCCACCTCAGAAAACCTCTAGATTTTTACCTCCCGCAATTGCATTGCTCTACAACAAATAACTTGAACTTGAACCTTTACTGATATTCTAAAAAAAAAAAGGAAGAGGAACCCCAGTCAATAAAAGTGGTGATCTCACTGAAGTCAACAATTTGAGACTAATATCAATCCTACCAATCTTGTTTAAAATATTTGAAAAGTTAATCTACATTTACTTCTAAGTAGCAAAACACAATATACTTAGCTCTTGCCAATATGCCTTCAAACCCAAAAAGAGCACCAATAAAGCACTGATTAGTGTGATTACCTTGATACATGCCTCTCTTGATGAAAATAAGTACTATACTCTGTTGGTTTATTTACTGACCTACATAAGGCTTTCAACACCGAAAACCACAACAATCTTCTTTTTCTTAAATTAACACTATGGAGTCAATGGTCACTCCCTACAATCTTACCTCAGTGACAGGCTCCAGTATGTCTCTATGAATGCTTCTAATTCCCCACCCTACCCATTAACATTGGGTTCTACAGGGAAATATTCTAGGAAACCTATGTGTGGGTGTTCCCAAACCCTCGTGTGTTCAGTAGTACTCCAGGTTGCAATCCTTATAGCATGTCGTGGTCTAGTCGTTTAGGGCGTGTGCCTGGGAACACACACCGCATAGATTCAAACCCTTATCACAGTTCCTACGGATTTTTCATTGATGCAATCACATTAGTGTAATTGCTCTGTGTATTGAAAGAGGAGCATCAGAGGTAGAATATTACTAGATGGCAGAGCCAGAGTGCATGAGCGGATTGTGCGAAAATCCTGTTCTGGCTTCAGTAGAAGCCTCAGGAAACACTCATGTGTTCGATAAAACTCCAGGTTGCAATCCTTATACCATGTCGTGGTCTAGTCCTCTAGTGTGTGTGTGTAGGAACACCCACCACATAGGTTCGAACTCTCATCATGGCTCCTATGGATTTTCTCATTATTATCATTATTAATTTTTCATCAAATCTTGGTGCATGCTGAGGTCGTGTTGAGCCTTCAAATGTGAGAAGAAAGCTCGAATGGTCCCCAAGCCATAAATCACTAGGAGCTCTGACCCCATCAGGAATCAAACCTGTGTTACCAGAGCTCACCCCACTGACTTACACAGTACAGTACTAATACCACTCCACCAGCGATAACCTGAAAGTATTGGTTTGACCAGGAAATCATATGCATCCACATGCATTGTATGACAAACCAACACCCTGCAACTCACGTGATGCATATTAGGTACAGCTTTGCACTAGGATTTTATGAAAAAACTATGACCATGATGTATCATGAGGGTTGCCAGGTGTTGGATGGTCATGGAACTTGTAAAACAAAAAGTACATAAGCTCCAGGACCAACCAACAATTTTAGGCAATCACTGGTGTAGGGGTTGAATAGAGCAGAATACTTTTGCACAATGACAGCCCCTTTCAAAGCTGGAGAAATTGCTGATCTGGAGAGTGTGCAGAGGTCCTTCACTGCTAGAATCCACTCAGTAAAACATCTTAACTATTGGGACCCTCTAAAATGCCTAAATCTGTATTCTCTTGAGCGCAGGCAGGAGAGATACATAATAATTTACATATGGAAAATAACAGAGGGGCTGATCCCAAACCTGCACACAGAAATAACACCACATGAGACCAGAAGGCATGACAGGATGTGCAGAATACCCCGATTGAAAAGCAGAGGTGCAATAGGTACTCTGAGAGAAAACTCTATCAACATCAGAGGCCCGAGACTGTTCAACACGCTTCCACTAAACATAAGGGGCATAACTGGCCGATCCCTCACAGTGTTCAAGAGAGAACTTGATAAGCACCTCCAAAGAATACCTGATCAACCAGGCCTGACCATTCATATGTCAGGCTGCGAGCAGCTGTGTTCAACAGCCTGGCTGACCAGTCCAGCAACGAGGAGGCCTGGTCGAGGACCAGGCCAAGGGGGACGCTAAGACCCGAAATCATCTCAAGGTAACCTCAAGGTGGTATTAGTACTATGTAAGCCAGTGAGGTGAGCCCTGGTAGCACAGATTCAAATCCTGGTGGGTCATGATATTTAGCCTCCTACCCATAACCAACCCTCCTTGATCTCTCCCATGCTAGAGTGAACATGATCGTATGTCAGTTGTGACCAACTTTGAAGTTGGATCACAAAACACTGATCCAAGTAGGCGGAATAATGAGATTTAGAGCATTCTCTAGTTCACATGTGGTTATTCTGCATATACTCTATATATATAAACAAAATTTTCTTTTAATTGTACACAGTACAGTATTTCACTTACAATGATATTGACATTCATCTCAACATTCCATTCAACACTGAAGCTGTGTGTTTTAGACTGGAAGTAGATGGAGTCGCCTACTCGAGAGATACTGAAGGTATTTGTAGATGTGCCAATGCGCTGAGCCTGCAGAAGATATACAAAGGTTAGCACAAATATTTATATATAAAATAATAATATTGCTACATATTCATAATAATATTAACAATAGTTGTATAAAACTAAAAAGAGCAATTATGACTTCTTTACCTGAATTTACCTAGGCCAATAATACTAGTGGCCTCAATGAGGACAGGAAGCTAGCAGCTTGTCAAAGGTTCCCCCAATTTGCCCTGATCTTTTCCAGCTGTATTTTAAACCCCAGCAGAATTTTGGCATTTACAGCTTCGGTGGATAGCGGGTTCCACGGGTTTACAACTCTATGGGTGAAAAAGCATCTCCTGCTTTCTGTCCTACATTGTGGTTTGTTGAGCTTGAACCCGTTGCTCCTCGTTCGTGTTACATCTGACATTTTGAAGAAATGATTGGATCGACATCCTCCAAATTGTTCAGTATTTTAAAAGTTTTAATGAGATCCACCCTCTCATGCCTGGTTTGCAATGTAGTTAGTCCAGTGGCCCTCAACTGTTCCAGATACGTGAGATGACTAAGCTCTGGTATGAGTTTTCTTGTCCAGTATTGCACTTTCACCAGAGCAGCTATGTCCTTCTGAAGATGAGGTCTCCATGCTCGAATACAATAATCCTGGTGGGGGCGCACCAAAGACTTATACAATTCAACAACTACTTTCTTTTCCTTGAAGTTTACAAGGAAAACTCATTTACATTTATAAAACCCTTTTCTTAAGTGCAAACCCTGTTCTGAAACTCTTCCTGGACAGATGTAATAGAACACATAGTCACCACACCAGACATAAATATCTCTTTGATATCCCCAGAGTCAAACTTAATCTGTGTAAACACTCTATGCAAATAAAGGGACCCGGTCTATGGAACTCACTCCCTAATGAACTGAAAAGCTGTCCAACTTTTGCCTTATTCAAAAAAAAAAAAAAGTACCTAATTTCATCTTCATAGTTTTCTACCTAGTGCTTTATCTGCAATGTACCTGTAAACATTTTTTTTTAATTTTACTTTAATTATTCTACTTAAATTTATCTGTATCTGTAAACTAAAGCTGTAAAATACCTGTAAACATTTTTTGTCAATTTAACTGTGAATTATCTAATAATTATCTGTTCGTTCGTGGAGTTCGTGGCTGTCTGGTTTGCGCTTCAGAGAGTTCGGGTCACGTGCGGCTCTACCATCCGGCTCCATTCGAACTGTTCACTGGTGGTTCATTGCCGGAACCATGGGGGTTCTCTTCGATCCTTGCCCCCTTGGAGTTGGTCCCTTCGAGGACCAACTCCAAAGGGATTTGGAGTTGGTCCTTCCTTCATTCCTTCGAACTCCTTCGAGGAATGAACAGAGACAGGTCATCCTCGCGGACGACCAGTCTCTGTTCATTGCTTTGTTCACAGATTGGCTGGTCGTCGCCGACTCATTTCGTTGGCTCTGCCAGACATACGGACTCCCGGACATGGACATCTTTGTGTCAGCGTGGTCTCGGTGTCTCCCATTCTATGTGGCGCCCTTCCCCGCTTGGGAGGCGTTCACAGTGGATGCCTTTCGGCAGGACTGGTCGAGGTGGAGCTACCTGTACCTCTTCCCACGGTCCGGCTGTTGCTTCGGGCTCTGGCTTGGTTGGAGTCCATCCCAAGGAGAGTAATCCTCATGGCCACTTGGTGGCCGGCCCAGCTTTGTTTTCAGACGCTGCTTGATCGGTGTCCGAACCCGGGGCGTTTTCCCGCAGCTTCTCCTCTTTCGGCAAGTCGGACTGATCCAGTACGTGGCTGGTTCGTCCTTCTCCTCTGCTCTTTGCGTCTGGTCTGTTTGAAGCGGGTGTATCACTACCTCTATGGTCATCAGGTGGCTACGTTGATGGTTTCCCATGTGTGAGTTTTATCTCAGCAACAGTATGAAGTTTCCTGGCGTTTCTTTTTGCCATTTCTTGCTCTTTGTAGATTGTCTTCTCTTTCGCATTGGGTTGTCTAGTCCTTTCTTGTTTTTTCAGGATCATTATTTGATGCTTCTTATTGTCACCTTGTTTTGAGTGGCGCAGGAGGAGCCGCTCCAGTTTGCGTTCGGGGTGGACGCCACATCCGCCCTGTTCCATACGCTTTCTCGTGCTTTGTTTCACCTTCAGCCTGCTCATGCGCCGCCTGAGCTGTCCTGGTCCTTGACCAGGGTGCTCTTTTATCTTTCCTCTCCTCGGTTTGTGGTAGCCCCTTCGGTTCAAGATTGTTTTTCAAAGGCCATCTTTTGTTGGCATTGGCCTCTGGGTGTCAGGTCGGGCAGCTTCAGGCTCTCCTCCGATGCAGGGGTTTCTGCTCTTTTGGTACTGGCGGTAGGTTTGTACATTTGCAGCCTTCTCCATCTTTCTAGCGAAGGCCGAGGCGGTTGCTTTCTGGAGGAGTCCTTGGGTTATTGATGCTTGGTTGGTTTGGACATGAGGTGCGTCATGTGTTGTCCGGTTGCAGCTCTTCACCGTTACCTGCGTGCCGTGGCTGGGGATGTACTTTGGGTTGATCGGGTATCCCTCGTTCCTTGTTCCAGGGCTTGGGTCTCCCAGGTCGACCACAGGGTTATTAAGTCTAGCCAGCCTGTGGTCTATCCTTGCGCCCGTGCCGTTCGGATGTTTGCAGCTTTCGCTACCGTGTTTGGTAACATGTCTTGGGCTCTTTTTTTTGGGTGCGGGGATCTGGAGGTCGCACAGGTTCCTGGCCGCCCGTTATTTTATGAGCGTGTCTGCTCCTGGGCATTCTTGTGTTGCTTTGGGTCGCAGGTTGCATCCTGTAGTCTCAACTTCGCGTTGTGGATTTTTGTGGCCGCCACCTCCCGGGTCAACCATTTCTTTTCCTTCTCTTTGGGTATGAAGCAAAAGGAAGCTGTAGGGGCTCCCCTCAGAAAACCAGCGTTGAATGTAATGAAACGCCATTTTCTGGGTGAGCCCCAGAGGCTCCCTGGCAACTCTCCCTCCCACCGGTTGGCATATTTTTTGTGTTATTTGACACTTAGCTTCCGAACTGGAGTGCTATGCAGCCGGCGAGGCGAGGTTCGGGGCCCCCCCTCCCCCTCTTGGGTAGGGGAGGGCTGTGCAGACGAGCTGCGTGGCAGTAGTGTGTTACATTTGCTTGTTTGCTTGTTTCCATGGGATTGTAGGGAGTTTCTACCTCTCTGTTCGGTTTTTGTTGTTAGTTTCTTACCATGTGGGGTTTGATTTGTTATGCCTACCTTTCTGGGTGTCTAACCCCGGTCGATGGCAGATAAGGAAAACCCCCAACTATAGGGGGGTTTTCAGGGCCACTGCTTCCTGAAACCTCTCTGAAGGGACCAGGTTCTGGTGCTGGTCCCTGGTAGGTCTGAACTCCTTAGCTAATGTCTTGGTCAAATATAACATACATTAGCCCAATAAGCTCCAGGGAGCGTCCGGGGCTCACCCAGAAAATGGCATTTCATTATATTCAACGCTGGTTTTATGATTCCTAAAGCACATGATTCTCTTCAGTCCATCTTTTAACCTTACTATAACGATTTATGTTTTCCTGAACATAGTGAACATAATCAAGTCTTTCAGTTAGATATTAGATAAAAATACAACTTACATACAGTAGTATCTTACCTGAGTGACAGTATAGGTGTTTTCATCCCAAATGATGAGTAGGTCTGGCCGAAGAATCAGCTGCTTATCTTCTTGCGTAATGTTTAAGTAACGGTCACATTTTTCGCTCTCAGAACAGTTCTTGTGTACTGCCAAAAACAAAATATGTAGAATCAAAATTATTTTGTGACTATGCAGATTTAAAATTTTGAAGAATATGCTTTAATTACATTTCAGTAAAATATAACCAGAGGTGTATTGTAGCTACTGTAGATATTTTATGTATACAATATTCTTTACAATGCACTCATTTTAATAGTAATTTATAAATATGCCAATAAAATTAAATTTATATAATATTGGGTACTTATCTACTTTATTATATTTTCTTGAATTTGTATAATGAGTAAACTCAATTATCCATTATATTTCCATTAATGCAATTTAACATTCCTTTTATTATTATTCTGTAGCATTCCTTTTTCCCCAAACCCCTGTGTGCATAAGAAAGCCACATGGTTAATTAATACTTATACTGTACTATTGCCATAAACTTTTTATTGCACGAATTATGACTTTGTTTTTTCCAAAATAAATGGTATATGGGATACAAAAGGAAACAAGAACTCTAATGGCAGGATAATGGTACCAACATAAATTTTGTTTATGATATAGCAAGTACAAAGTGGGCTGTGTGCAACTGTGTGCTGTGGGAGGCACTCAGGCTTTTTGAGCTGATATCCATATACCCCCCTATAGGGAATTCTATTGTGAACAATTTGATATCAAAATGAATAACATAGCATGAGAATTGCGGAGAGAAAACTGAAAAGAGTATACACATTTTAGTGTGGCTGCCCGCTCGTGCAAAACGCTTGGCCCACCTTGGGATAGGCAGGGGCACGCACGCCAAGGAACACGAAAGTGTTAACACTATCGCACTCCGTTGTCTCCCCCTTGTAGTCACTCATTTTTCTTCTGAGTCCTCTCGGGTGACTAGGTCTGGAGTCACTCATTAAAATATTTGTTAAAAATTTAAATTTAATCCAATCAATCTGGGAGTGATTTCAAAATGAGTGCCTTTAGATTGCGAACAATTTGATACCAAAATGAAAGACGTAACGCAAAAATTGGTGTCAGAACACTGAAAATATATCAATAATTTTGTGGTGTTGAGCATCCAAAAGTTAAAATATGTTAAAATTCCATTTATTTTTCTATTATTATGGGACTAGTTTTAAAATACGCGCCTTTATTTTGCCAACAATTTTATACCAAAATGAAACACATAACACAAAAATTGATGTTATCAAATGAACAAGTATATATATTAGTCTGCAGGTGTGTCAATTGGTGCTCGTTCACGGGTAACTTGGCCGACTTTAGGCTTTGCTATGGGGGAGTCACGCCGGACTTTTTGACCTTGTATGCATATACCCCTATAGGGAATTCTATTGCAAACACAATGATACCAAAACGAATGACGTAGCACGAGAATTAAGGTGGGAAAACTGAAACGAGTATACATATTTTGGTGTCGCCGCACGCTTGCCCACACCGTCAGGAGCAGACGTCAAAGTCTGCGGAGTGTCCGCACAACGCACGATAGTGTTAATATTGTATCTCAGTCTGTGTGTGTGTGTGTACAAGTCCAAAAGTGGAGGATTCACTGTGCGGTAACTGGTAATATTTTTGATTGTGTACCATTATAATTGTTGGAATTCAAATTTCATCATGTGCCTTTTCATTGTTTGAAAATATTCAGTATTTTGCATTTTTCTTATTGACTGGAAAGTCCAGTTATCTTGTTCTGTGTGAAGTAATCCCTAGAGGAAAATTTAAGTTAATTTGATTATTTTCATGTGTTTTGCTGTGGTCAAAATCAAAAGATGAATTATAGTTCATAGTTGGAATTCATTCTACTTTTTGCATTTAAAGAAATTAACATTTATAAAATCCATATGTACAAGGTAGATATTATAAGCTATAAATAAAAATAGAAGTAATAATATTTAGGTCTTAACACTTTCATCTGGCGAAGATGGAAATTGCAGCCATTAATAACTTTAAGGATGTCCGGCGGTGACGCATGTTGCGTCTAAAATTATAATATCTCTTAAAATTCCATTTATGGTTCGATTATTATGGGACTAATTTTAAAATGTGCACCTTTAAGTTGCAAACAATTTGATACCATAATGAACGACATAACATGACAATTGAGGTCAGAACACTGGAACGATTCTAAATACTTGTGGGTGATGAGCGTCCAAAATTAAAATATTTGTTAAAATTTCATTTATTGTTCGATTATTATGGGACTAGTTTTGAAATCCGCGCCTTTAGATTGCAAAAAATTTGATTCTAAAATTAACGACGTAGCACAGAAATTGAGGTCAGAACATTGGAAAGAGTATACATTAAACACAGAAATCAGAATAATGTGATGCATCATATGAACAAATCCACAAGGGCCGTGATGAGGGTTCGAACCTACATCCGAGAGGATCCCAGACGCGCCTTAATCAATTCTTTAAACTGGTTGCAATTCTTTTTCATGTCGTGGCACAGTTGATTAAGGCGCGTCTGGGATCCTCTCGGACGTAGGTTTGAACCCTCATCGCAGCCCTTGTGGATTTGTTCATTTAAAGAGTATACATATTTTAGTGTGGGTGCATGCTCCCAGGAAACACCAGACCCACCCCGGGGCTGGGGCGCGCCCGTCGCGGAGGCGAAAGTGTTACTTTAATTTATAAAAGATAATATAATTAACATAACTTCTCTTCAAGAAGAGAGATTGAAGCATTAATTTTGACATGCTGAGTGTTGCTCTACATGCTGTAAATCCTTTGTGATTATATTGAGAAGAATGGGTTTCTGACACCAAGGTATGTGTTATCAATATATCATGTCAACTGTCTCATATATTTGTACTTAGCAAAACCAGGCAAGAAATCGCCTCCCTATGCTTACAGTAATATAGTGGTCAGCACAGTCGGTTCATTGTCAAAAGATCCTAGGTTCAATTCCTGCAGCAGGACAATAATAAATATATACCAAGTAGTTAAGCTACTGTTGTAGAATGTATCCTTCAGAAGGTGAAAGCTACACTTTCTTAACCCCTGTGATAAGTCCAAGAGGCTTTCTGTCCCAACAATAGAAAACCAAACCAAAAACAAACTGTAAAATATATTCTTACCAGATACAATCCAATCTTTGTTGATCTTATCCTCAGCCAGGATGTGATTACATGGTTCTAGTTCATAATCTGAACCGTCAAAGGAATTGAAGGTGCGCCCTTCCATGTTACATTCTGGACTGATAACTTTTGGCAGGCCTGGAGTTGGTTCTGGACTTCCAATGGGTCCTAATGATATGAAAAAAGTAATGTCAGAGAGGTAGATAGAGTATCTTATTGCAGGTGTTTGACAGCAAATATTCCTGTATATAGATTTTGCTGCACTTTACAAGAATTAATCAGCAATGGAAAAATGTTTAACAAAAAACATGCAGTTGAGGTTCTCTCACAGGAAATAAAGCTTTTAGCAGATATGAAAAGAACTTTAATGAACATTTGGCTGTTCCTTAACCCTTAGACAGCTGCTACAGAGCTGTCACACCCGCCTATACACAAAAAATAAAAAATAATTTTTCACAATAGAATTATTAATTTGAATGTAAAATGTAAGAAAAAACAAAAAACCAGCGTTGAATGTAATGAAACGCCATTTTCTGGGTGAGTCCCGGAGGCTCCCCGGAGCTATCCCAGGCTGATATGCTAATGTCAGACTTTGGCATCAGTCATGTGTATGGAGTTCTTAGGCCTACCGGGGACCACGGCCAGAACCGGGCCCCCTCAGAGAGGCAAGGGGAGCAATGGCCTATAGAAGCCCCTGTGTAGTTGGAAGCATTCTATGTCTGCCATCGACCGGAACAGGCACCCAGAAAGGTAAGCGCCCCAAAACAAACCCCTATTCTGGTTAAAATTGCTACCTAATACCGAACTAGTGGATAGAACTCCCCAACCGAAAACAAGCAAATTAGTGTGACGTCACACACTGCCGCGCCGCTGTCTGCGCAGCTCCCCCCTCCCCGGGAGGGGGAAGGGGGAGCCCCAGACCCCCCGCGCCGGCTACCCACACCTCAGTTCTTGAGGCTGGATGTCAAAAACGCGAAAAACCGCCGACCGGAGGGAGGGAGGGATGCCGGGGAGCCTCCGGGACTCACCCAGAAAATGGCGTTTCATTACATTCAACGCTGGTTTTCTGGGGGGAGCCCCGTCGGCTCCCCGGAGCTAACTACCCACAGACAGAAAAAGAGGGACTTACCCGGGAGGCGGTCGTCGCTCACCCCTCAACTCGAAGCCGAGACAACTGGCTGCAACCGCCGACCCAAAGCAACACAGGCCCGACGAGGGCCAGGGACATTCACAAGGTAACGAGCAGCCAGGACCCTGTTCGACCGCCAAAATCCCCGCGCCCGAATATCAGACCAAGACATATTCCCAAAGACGGCAGCAAGAGCCGCGAACTTACGAACGTCATGGGCACGGGGATAGACCGCAGGCTGGCTAGACCTAATAACCCTGCGGACGACCTGAGAGACCCGAACCCGCGAACAGGGAAGAAGGGAAACCGGATCAACCCACAGCGCGTCCCCGGACACAGAAGCTGTGGCGCGCAAATAACGGCGAAGCGCCGCAACCGGACACAAAACATGATGCACCCCCGGCCTGACCAACCAAGCATCAACCACCCATGGACCCCTCCGGAACGCAGCAGTCTCATTCTTCGCCAGAAAAGAAGGAGACGGCTGCAAACGAACAAAACTATCACCACGACCAAAAGAGCAGAAACCCCTGCGCCGGAGGAGAGCATGAAGCTCCCCTACCCGACCCCCAGAGGCCAAAGCCAACAAGAAAAGTGCCTTGGAAAAACAATCCTGGACCGAAGGGGCCACAACGAAACGAGGAGATGAAAGGAAAGCGAGCACTCTGTCCAAAGACCAGGACGGCTCAGGCGACGCATGAGCAGGCCGGAGGTGAAACAATGCACGAGACAGCTTGCGAAACGGCGCAGACGTAACATCGATACCGAAAGCAAGCTGAAGCGGCTCCGCCAGCGCCGCACGATACGAAGCGACAGTGTTAGGCATAAGATGACGGTCCTGAAACAACCACGAGAGGAAGGACAAGACCACCCGAACAGACAAGGAGCTAACACGACGAAGACGCAAAAAGAAACGGAAGGACCGCCAGGAAACTTCATACTGCCGCCGAGAAGAAGCCCTCAGGTGGGACACCAACAAGGAGGCCACCTGATCACCATAGAGCTGATGATAGACTCGAGTCAAAAAAACCATACGCGAAGACTCGAGGAGAAGATCGAACCAGCTACGTGACGTACCGGCCCGATCTGCTGAAAGAGGCGGAGCCGCGGGAAAACCCTCGGGTTCGGACACCGAGCAACCAGCGCCTGAAACCAAGGCTGGGCCGGCCACCAAGGGGCCAGAAGGACAACCCTCCCCCGGTAAGTCTCTAAGCGAGTCAGGACCTGGAGCAACAGCCGAACTGGGGGAAAGAGGTACAGGAACCCCCACCTCGACCAGTCGAGCCGAAAGGCATCGACCCCGACGGCCTCGCAATCGGGGAAGGGCGCCGCATAAACGGGAAGACGCCGCGACCACGCCGACGCGAAGAGGTCCACCTCGGGGCGCCCGAACGTCTGGCAAAGCCAACGGAAGGACTCGTCGTCGACCGTCCACTCCGTGGAGAGGGGAACGAAGCGAGACAGGGCGTCGGCCAAGACGTTGGACACGCCCCGTACGTGAACCGCCAGGAGAGCCAAACCCCGAGAACTCAGCAGACGAGTCACCCGAAGCGACCAACCCCAAAGAGACAAGGACCGCATCGAACCCCCGCGGTTCAGGCAATGAACCACCGGAGAGCAGTCCGAATGGAGCCGAATCGTCGATCCGCGGGCCACCCGAATCCTCCCCAGAGCAAACCACACTGCCGCGAACTCCCGCACCGTACTGTGAGCTCGACGGAAGGACGGATCCCAACGCCCCTGGCCGGCCTGGTGAGCACTGGTCACAAAACCCCAGCCGAGAGACGACGCATCCGCGTACACATCGAGCGAGGGCTCGGGTAGGCGCCAAGGCACTGAACCCCGAAAAACCCGAAGAGGAAGCCGGTGACGCAGCAACCGACGCAAGTCCCCCGGGGGTCGAACTCTGCGATCGCGAGAGAGGCGGAAGGGAGAACCCCGAAGGAACCAGAACAGCCGTCGAAGCCAAACCCGACCCGGCGGGTAGACCACCATCGCGAAGTTCAGGCTCCCGCACAGCCCCTCGAGCAACCGCCGGGTGACCCGAGGGCCCTCCAGAAACAGACGAAGGCGGGACCGCAGCCGCAGGAGAGACTCCGGAGGGAGAGACCAGGAGGCGGTCCGAGAGTCCCACACGAGACCCAGCCAAGTCCGAACCTGAGAGGGAACCAGATGGGACTTCCTCCAGTTCACCAAGAACCCGAACCCGGCGAGCTGGGAAAGAACCAAATCCCTGGCTAGCAAGCAAGCGGACTGGCTGGGAGCCCAAACCAGCCAGTCGTCGAGGTAGGCCAACACCCGAACACCTAGGAGACGCAAACGAGCCACCACAACCCGTGTAAGGCGTGTGAACACGCGAGGTGCCAGGTTCAACCCGAACGGGAGACAACGAAAGCGGTAACTCAGACGCCCCACTACAAAACCGAGCCAGTCCCTGAACCGCGGATGAATCGGGACATGCCAATAAGCGTCCCGGAGGTCCAGGGACACCATCCAAGCACCCGGCTCCAAGAGGAGCCGAACCTGAGACAGCGTAGGCATCCGAAAGGAGGGGCAATGAACCCAGGGGTTCAGACGGGACAAGTCCAGAATGAACCGCAGGTCCGCGCAGTCCCGTTTCGGAACCGGAAACAGACGGGAAACCCATCTGAGGGACGACGTCGTTTCGACGACGCCCAAGCGTACCCACTCCAAGACGACTCGACAGAGCGCAGGGGAAGAAGCCTGCCCCGCCAGCCCCGACCCCCCAAAGGGGGGAGGGGCCACCCAACGCCACCGCAGGCCGCGAGACACGACCCGAAAGGCCCACGAATCGTGGGACCAGGCGCGGGCGAACAGCGCAAGCCGCCCCCCCATCGCCCCGTCAAAGGGGCAAACCGCGAAAGGGCCGGCGACCCTTACGAGACCCAGAACCCCGCACAGCGCGAACACCGCGCCGACCAGACGAGGGAGGGTCCGCAGGAGGAGCCAACCCCAAACCTGACACCAGAGGCCTACCACGACGAGAGGAACCCCGAGCCCTGGCACGACCTTTCCGGGAAGACCCACCCCGGGACCCCCGGAAAACCAACAAGTCCGACATCGGACGACAAGCCGCCGACGCAGCCTGAATAAACTGCGCCACGGCCGACTCCCCAAACAGGAGAGGACAAAAAGGTGAAGAACGCCTAAGAGCCAGAGCCCAAGCAGATTCCACGGAGGAACCCAGCACCGCCTGCCGACACGCGAGACGGGAAGCATAGAACAGGGAAACCGCATCCCGCAAAATCGGCGTGAACAGCTTCAACAAGGCAGCCGACGAACGCGCAGCCGAGGACAAGGTGCCGGACCCCGGGACGGACCCAAGCGTCCCCACATCCTCCACGAGCCAATCCGAAGACAGCTCCAGGAGGGAAAAGAACCGCAAGGCCGAACACAAAAGGCCCCGAGCGCGCAAGTCCTCCGCCACGAGCGCCGCCGAAAGGGAGGGAACCTGCACATGGAGCTGAATAACGCCCACATCGCGGGGAAGGGCAGGGGCAAACAAGCACTCATTCAGGTACTCAAGGTCACCCCCCAGGAAAACCTGAAGCACCGTGGAAGCTTCCCGCCACTCCAGCGTGCGGGAACGACAGAAGGAATGCCAGGAATCCAGACCAAACAAGGGGCAGTCTGCTAGCCAGGATGACTCCGGAACCTCGTAACGGAGCCAGAAAGGGAACGAAGTCCCAAACCTGAACGTGGACGGATCCATTTCCGAGGCATAATCCGGGTCACGCAGGAGGTAAGCTGCAAAGGCCGCTCGCACCACACCAGGTTGGATGCGATAAGCCGAAAACCTCCGGAAGGACGGAACCGACGTACCCGGGGGAACACGGAACCGTACCCGGGGAGGGGCCGACACCAAATCCAACTCGTACGCAGAGGGGGGGAAAGAAAACCCCACTCCTTGTAACAATAAGCCCCGCTCAGTGGGAAGAAAAACCCAGGCGGGGTCCAGCGGGGCCCAAGGCCCCCAAGTCAGCCCCTCCCCAGCCTCGAGGTCCGTCACCACAGGACC